TGTCGGTCGCTCCCTACTAACCAAGCTTGGTCCCCAGTGACGGAACAGGGCCGATGATTTACCCGTGGCACAGCCTTAACGAGCTTCATCAGTTGCCTTCAGCCAACCACCAATATCTTCCAGATTGCCCGTGTGTCTCCCAAGAGGGTTGCCCGTGTCTCGGCGGTGCCCGTGTCTCGAAGGACAGCCGCACCAGAGCTTGCCCGTGGCTTCGCCTTAACGAGGTCTCCAGTAATCGACGTCTCCGAGCCTTAACGAGTTCGAGTCTTAACGAGTTCGAGTCTTAACGAGGCCTCTGGGCCTTGAACGAGGTCTGTCCGATGTTAGCTTGACTGCCTGCGCCACTGGTTCACTACCGCCTCGCCGCATCTCGCACGATGCGATCCCAGACCGTATGCAAGCTCAGGGGTGTCCTGTCTTCTTCCTAGGGCGACACCACATCAACTGGTAATGCAAGACCAGCGTCTGGGCCCGAGTGCGAGTCGGGTAAGAAGAAGTCGGATGGTTTTCATATGCCGTTTTCCCCTGATTTTTGGTGTGGTCGTGCGGTCGTGCCCCGCGCCCACCGCGCCGGGCCGGACTGCACAACCACGTCGGATTCACTTTGGTCTCCCCAACGGGGATTAACACCGGACACCACGAGAAGGTATGAATCCATTGTCCCAACAGCCTGGCGAGGACTGTCGCCCAGTGCGAGCTCACTGGGGGCTCACAATTGTACAGGTCCGCTCGAAATTAGTTTCACCATGTTATTCTCTTTGGTTCTTTCTTAAGTCTTGGCCAGACCCATATCGGCCTACACCTGGACTAGCTCATGAATTGCTGTCGAATAGGAAAAAGGTAATAAAAATACACTAGCTATATTAGGCATAGCGCTAATAAAAATAGAGGTTGCGAGGCAATCTAAGAGAACAAATTGGTGAAACTGTTTTCGAGCGCGTCTGTATGAATTTTCGAGGTCAGTCCATACTGTTGTAGTTCAGAGGTATTAATTGAGTTATTGTTCAGAGGGAAACATTAGGCTATATATATATATATACAACGAGAAGAACAAGTTGATTTCCAATCAACTTGGTTCTTCGTATAGATATCTCGGGATTAATTCCGATGGTTCGGCTTGGTTCCTGATCTGCACCAGCCTCATATCACAACACAAATCACTCACATTATCAGGAAGAATGGACGTCTCAGGCTTCTATGCAGCGAGCCTCGCAGTCGGATATTTGCACCTGTTATTGGCCCGCTCCTTTCTTTTATATTCTTCACCTAGGGTTTGCTGCGTGGTCTGAAGCGATGGCACCAGGAATGGTGTGTAGGCCATGGCTTGTGCAGAGCATTAACTGGGGTGCTGCAGCCTCGGGGGCACTCTGGTGCGATGTCAATGGTTCACTGTCATTCATTAGCTTGTAGACCGGCGAGATAATCCATGACTCACATGTTCGGGTGGCCAAGACTAAGAACGAAGAGACAGCAAATAGCTGTGGTCCTCGCGCTCGTGTATTGTGGTCGAATGTCCTAGGTTCTATTGGAATCGCATCGTCTTCAATCAGTGGAATTCAGACTGGTCAGGCTAAGATTCACATACCTGCGACGTGGATATTCGCGCTTTCTCTTGTGAATACACACAGAGGCTGTACAGTAGATCGGCTCAGTCGACTGCTATAGCGGAGACATCTTTGCATAGACACTTGGACCAGCCAGCCTGAGTCTTGTCTCTTTGATCGGCTGGCTGGCTGGCACAGTGGATGTGCTGAGAGCAATATCTTTCCCAGGCATTGTCTAGCTGCCGGTCCACGATGTATTCTATAAATGGCAGTGCAGTGGAAATATCGGTTCTGGTTCAAAGGGGAAGAACTTATCAACTGCCTCCGACACAAGCCTGCTCGACTTTGCGTGGTCAAGTGAATAAATTGTGGAGCAAATAGCTGGGGGTAGAGGACGTATTTATAGACTACTCGGCTTCTTCTGTTGCGTAAGTGCTCTGCTTGGTAGAACGCGTTGAGGGACAACTCTCTTAATTGAAACCTGTTGAAACCCATTTCTTCTTTTTACCGCAATTATTTGCAGCGACATGCAACGACAATTTTTATGCCTTTAGCTCAGCGAGAGAGACGAATAAGAATGGTGTTGAAAAAATGGGATGCTGAGTAGGCCAAGAAACGTTGGCTCGCTGCTTAATCCTTCACGGCCCTCTTAAATTGAGGTTTTGTGGGAGATATTCCATCCGCAATGGCAGGCTCATATTTATTTTTCTGATACCTCATCTGTGAGCGCGATTCAACGTTGGTTCACCGAAAAACGCCTGCAATTTCATCCCGAGAAGTCATGGATTTTTTTCCCTTGCCTCGCTTTAGTGTGGTGTTGCTTGTGTTGAGCTGTGGGTCTGTCCGACCAGACTGCGGAAAGCGAGGTCACAGTAGGATGTGCTCGACCCGTCAACCCGTTGGAGATTCAGCGGCTTTCTATGAAGGTTCCCATAAAGCAGACACCGTGCAAATTTCAGCCGACCCGGAGGCAAGAAAAAGCTTGTGAGAAATCCCAACAGTCTGGGAATATGGATCAAATTGTTTCTCTGATGCATTGTTGCAGTAGACCAGCCACACGGGGGATTGCATTCCTGCTCAACGAGATATTGGCTGCAGTTACGTAAATATGAGACCCATTGTTTACCGGTAAACTAGATGGCGAGCCTACATTGTATGCTTTCCAGTGCAAGTACTATTGCGTTTTTGTCAATCAGCATGACAACTTGCAGCTTTTGGATCCAGACCTTGGTTATGACACATAAATGGATTTAGCTGCAGTGACATCACTGTATTGCCACTCAAATTGGTGGGGAGCGCTATCAATTAGGAAAATGGTCCTTGTCTTACGAAGTGAAGGTGTTGTGCGGTCGCTCCTGTATGGAGAAAACCATGTTCGCCGGGTTGAGCGGATATTGCGGATGAAGATTCAGCCCCCACAGACTAGAATTGACTACTGCATGTTTCTGAGGAGACTAATTGCCACTCAGCTTGGAAAAAGTACGCGGGAAGCCTCATGGCTTGCAAGCTTGCTGTCAGTGGGTGATTCGGCTCCACATATGTTTCACAACGCCGACGGAAGATCTCAAGTGGGCCCGATGACCCAAAGTTAGTCTAGATAGAGAAACTCTAATCAGATCAAATGGACACTAGATGAAGAAATTCGTCACATAAATCCGGCTTGTTTGTCTTTTGATATATCTTGTGTCAAATAGACAACTTTAGCCAAAACGACATTGAAAAACCAAGGTGGTTTATTTTTCCGCGAATCGCAATCGCCAGTGAGACCTGCATCCCAACTCATATCGCTTTTCATAATTCGAAATTCCTCCAAATATGTCCGATGTGACGAAATTTGACGAGCTGCACAAGCAGCTGTTTGAAGAGGGGGTCAAAGTGCGGAGGGCAGTCCTTGGAGACGAGTATGTCAATAAGGCGTTGCAAAACGCGACACCCTTCACAATGCCCGGGCAGCAGCTCATCACGGAATGGGCATGGGGTACCATCTGGCAACGCCCGGGGCTTGACCGAAAGCAGCGCAGCCTTCTAAGTAAGTCAAACTTCATTATAATTCCTGAAAAGATTGCGAGCGAGAGCTTAGGATTCTAATATTGGGATGTTCGGTAGATATTGGAATCATCATTGCTCAGAAGGCGTGGCTTGAGCTAGCTTTGCACACCAGAGGTGCTATCAACAACGGTCTTTCAGAGATAGAAATCAGAGAGGCTGTTTTGCAGGCAACAGTCTACTGTGGGACCCCTGCCGGTGTCGAGGCAATGATGGTGACTGAGAAAACCTTAAATGACATGATTGAGAAAGACGAATACAAACGCCCGGAGCTCTAACTTGGCATGAATGGAGACATCGTATCATGTCCCTTGAATATGGAAATGACAAGTAGCTTGGAATCTTCATATCATGCTTCTGCTTGGTTCTGATTTGATCATTGCATACGGAGAACATAACATCCATTTAAATACGTGCCATTTGTACAAATATAAACCGCAAACCCCTAAGTATCAATGTCACTCATACTCTACTTTAGCTACATCTATTGTCAAAACGAAATCTGATGATGCTTGTGTGCTCATGAACTATAGAGGTCTGTTGTCATCCATAAACACTTCAGCTCTAATCAAGCGACGTGATCAATTGGCCTATCGAAATTAGGAGGCAATATCTCAACGGAAGGGGGTTGGAATTATCAATTTGTGTGTAGCTTATTGTTCGGGTGATGAAAATATCCCAAACAACGCTCTTGAAAACAATTGGCCGCCAAACGCTGGTAGAATAGCTAGCTACATCTCCAGTTCCGACCACCGGAGATTACTCAACGTCTCATCATGCCATTTAATTTGCAATGATGATTCCCATTGTGTCATAGCTCGTATGCATGGTCACTATCTGCATGCAAGGTCATCATCTAGTAGCCCCATATATTAGCCTTCCTGCGAGAAAGAACCGACCTTTTGCATTAGTCGAACAAAGTGCGGGCCGAAAGGCTAGATTCGGCATCGGGTTTCGTGGCCTTTTCACTCCGAAGGTATGGTGAAAGAGTGTGGATCCTAATCTAAGCATGGAGATCTTCAATTCTTCAACCCTCGTTGGGTCCATTTGCCAAAGGTTAGGCGAAATTTCAACAAGGTTTCACCATCAGAACAACCTATCTGCCGCTCGCATTGAGCATTATTGGTCCGTTATGCTGCACGTGTGAATCCTGGAAGGCATCGTTGCTCAGTCTGAGGCCTTAATGGCGATGTCACGTAATGAAAAACCTCAATGGATGGACTAACTATTGTACTGACAGAATATAAAAAGGGCTTTGGATTCCGCTGCATGGTTACCGGCAACCTGTCAAGGGCCTCTTCTATAAAAGCTCAGGTATATCAGTCTAAACACCGCCATTGGCAACCTTGTTTTTCCTCTACGAGCAAAATTTCTATTTCAGCAAATATATCTCCTACGGCCAACCTCAAAATGCCGTCCGTCATTCAGCCTGCTGGCGTGGGCACCCATGTTGCCATTGTCGGCGCCGGTCCACGAGGAACCAGCACTCTGGAACGTCTTTGTGCCTCAGCACCGGAGTTTCTTGCCCCAGGAGCACGACTGACGGTTCATATCATTGATCCATCGCCTCCAGGCGCGGGTCGTGTCTGGCGCACAGAGCAGTCGAATGAAGTTCTGATGAACACCGTCACATCCCAGGTGACCCTGTTCACTGATGACAGCATCGTCTGCTCAGGCCCAATCCGTCCAGGACCAAGTCTTTACAACTGGGCTGCCGACAGGATCCCTGGCCTTGGGCCTGATGATTATGGAACCCGTGCTCAGTACGGACAATATCTTGAATGGATCTTTCAAGAGATTGTGCGACAAGCACCACCTCAAGTGCAAATTGAGGTTCATCCCGCCTTCGCTGTCCGCTTGGACGACACATCTTATGGCCAGCAAACGCTCACGCTGTCCAATGGTCGCACCCTTTCTGGTCTGGCAGCTGTCGTCCTTGCGCAGGGTCACGTCCCACTACTTCTGGACATTGAACAACGGAAGCTCAATGCTTACGCAGAGTTAAATGGTCTTCATCATATCACGCCCTCAAACCCGGCAGATGTTGATCTTTCCGTTATTCTTCCAAGAGAGAACGTCTTTCTACGTGGTCTTGGTCTCAACTTCTTTGACTACATGGCGTTGTTGACAACATCCCGGGGTGGTAGCTTCTCAGAGACCCCCAACGGCTTAAAATATCACCCATCGGGCAATGAGCCTCGGATGATTGCGGGATCCCGTCGCGGAATTCCATACCACTCCCGTGGTGATAACGGCAAGGGGGGCATACGGCCGCCACATGCCCCTCGTCTTCACGGAAGAAGTCATCAATGCTTTCCGCAAACATTCCGATGCCGGAAAAGCGCCCGACTTCCTCCAGGATATATGGCCTCTTGTCTCCAAAGAAGTCGAAACCGTCTATTACCTCGCTCTGCTCAAGCGCGATGAATCGGAACAGACCGACTTCCAGATCAGGTTCCTGGAAGCTGAGCCAAATAGTCCTGAGGAAGCGCAAGTTCTTCACGAGTTCGGTATTTCGAAAGAGGAGCGGTGGTCCTGGGACCGTATCCAGCGTCCACAGGGCGACCGGATTTTCAATACCACCACCGAGTGGCGTGAGTGGTTGATCGACTACCTTCGTGAAGATGCCAAGGAGGCGGCACTTGGAAATTTGAATGGTCCACTCAAGGCAGCTTTGGACGTGATGCGTGATTTGCGAAACGAACTGCGACTCATCGTGGATCACAATGGATTGACCGCCACTTCTCATCGGAAGCACCTCGATCGCTGGTACACGCCTCTCAACGCCTATGTGTCGATTGGACCTCCTCGTCAACGCATTGAGCAAATGATTGCGTTGATGGAGGCGGGTGTTCTGGAAGTCCTGGGTCCCCATCCCAAGGTAAAAGCCCAGGATGAGGCTTGGCTCGTATACTCGCCCGAGATTCCTGGTGAGCCAATCCGGGTTACTACATTGATCGAAGCCCGCTTGCCAGAGCCAACACTGCAGAACACTGCGGATAAGCTTCTTTCTCATCTGTATAACACTGGTCAATGCCGCGCTCACACGATTGATGCATACGAGACTGGTGGTCTTGATGTCACTGGAAGCCCATACCATCTCATCGACACGTATGGCCGTGTGCACCCAAAGCGCTTTGCTGTTGGCGTTCCAACAGAAGGAGTCCACTGGGTGACCGCTGCTGGTGCCAGACCAGGTGTGAACTCAGTCACACTTTGTGACACTGATGCCGTCGCCCGCGCTGCCCTTGGCGCAGCGTCTATCGAGGCAAGGATCACTCGGGCTCAGGTTGAAGTGAAGGCTTTTCCCCTTGTTGAGGTTGCCGAGCTCCGTGTTCATGTCTGAAGTGAGTATGGTCAGCACGTGCGAAAAGAAATTTCCGAGTATATATATTGGTCAACTGAATGAAGAATCTGAGGGCATCAGGAATATGGTGGAATGGAAAGGAATTATTTAAATTGCCACAAACTTTGAATTTGATGTTCTTCTATGTTCTCAGCTCAAAATAAATGTTAAATCGTTAAGAGATAATGTGGTTTCAAACGTAGAATATGGCTTATTTCCTATAGGTTATATAGGGAGGAGTTTTATCGGGGTTGCCTCAAGCTGCCACGCTGCCTCACGTGACATCTACACCGACATTACGGAGGGCTCCTTCTTCCTACAACTGCCTCGCAAGAGTCAGTTGCTTGCCTCTGGTAGTAGCTCGTCATCTCTCACGCAGTCAAGTCTCAATTTTGTCCCTCCAACCCCCCTCTGTATATAGAAACCAGCATTGCAATATACAGACACATTGCCTCCCTACAAGGGAGCGCGGACGGGCCTTCTCTGACGCTACAGTCTAATGCGTTTACGCATAAGACCGCAGCGACAGGTGACCCGTTACGGCCAAACTGTACACTTTCTTGTTCCCATCTTGACTGCGAGAGGTCATCAATAAATCCGCATCTCAAATGCCCGCCTTCAATTCATCTCATCAATGGAAGCCTAAGTTTGTAATAACGCGCAATGATTAGTGTGGCTTGTAGATCAGTTGAAACAAGTACTGATGATCACACCAATCAAAACCAAGAAGTTCACAAAAATGTTGACGTCGCACATAATACAAAAACTACGAATGCACAAGCAAAGTTTATAGAATGGCTTCTCGCGGTAGACCATCAAGCTAATATTCAATCTTCATCCCTGCACATGCTCTCCCAGAGCGGCCTCTTTTCCCCCTCCATTTGCGAGAATCCATTTCAAAGTGCCGTGTCAAGCTAATATACTAACACGGTACAGGCTTATGAAACTCATCTTTTTCCAGAGCATAGGGCATCACGTGGTAAAACCTAGACTCGAGTCTGGAATTAACAGGTCAGCAGCTGGAGAAATGACGTGTGAGATCCGTCGGGACTTTCACCAAGTCTCGAGGCATCAATTTTTGAATTTGTATTATGAATTTATCCTTTATACAGCCACAAGGGTGGATCAATATGGCGTAGCTAAAGTCTAGCATATGCACCATGTAACTATGCAAAAAGGCCGCATCTTCCCGGCCTAAATTTGATGCCCTTCCGGCAGATCAGGCGGCTAGTCGCCACATCGACATTAGATTGGCTATATAAAAGGCATTCTCCTGTACGTTTGGGCTGCTTTGAATTATATATATCCATATCATTGAATGCTTTCAAGTGCGCTGTGTTTTTGACACTTTTCCGCAAATCGACCCATCATGATGGACCAAGATAGCTTTACCCTCGAAAGACGCAGAGAGCGTAACAGGTTAGCACAGCGCAAACATCGTACATTGTCCGGTCCGCCGACATTAAACACACAACTAACAAAAATAGGTAAAAATACAAAATCAGATTCCAACAGATCACGACCACTAGAATGCTATAGCATATCGAGTGCGAAGCCACACTCGGAGAAATATTACCCAGCGATATCGACCAACCCACACAGCTGCATTTCTCCTGTGGGCCATTGCCAAGAAGATCTGACTTCGTCAGTCCCGTTCGGACCGAGTCCTACATCCAACGGAGCCGACGGCCTGTCCACGGAAACGTGCTTCTTCAACGAGCCGTTTCTAGCGCAAACTCCCGAATATAGGGACCTCAACTTGGTAGCGACTAGTTTGCCACTTGAGGATCGACTGCAATTTGGCCCCTGTACATGCAGCAGGGATTCAGATCCTTCCGCCAGCCCGAGCAAACGTAAGAGACTGGTTGTCAATACGCGCATGCATATCTCATAGCTCACCAGCTTCACCAGGCTTTCATACCAGAAATCTGTGCGACAGCTGCTATATTTACCCCGGGGAGCTTTTTATGGCAGGGCAGCAACAGGGAACTCCCTTCAAATTGCCCGCAAATACACCCACTCGGCCTTTTGGACGAAAGAGCGATCGCGACCTTATGCCCGACAGTGGAGCAGGGTGGAGGACGTGGACGATGCCCCTGCATATCGCTATTACACGAGGTCATCTCTCAGCGTTTAGACTCCTCCTTGACCGAGGCGCTGATCCTAATGCGGTCGACGGAACAGGATCCACAGCACTTCACGTAGCCGTTCGGGGGGGGTCATCACACAATGGTACGTGAGCTGCTTCGGTATAGTGCCAGTACGAGCGTGGTTGACGCGACCGGTTGGGTGCCGCTTCATTACGCCGCTGAGACCGGCGACGAACAGTGTTTAGGAATCTTACTGCAGGCAGGCGGGGGATGAAACTTTACAACTACTTTAGAAGTCTTGGCAGAATGAGACAATGAGAGGACGCCTCTGGAAGGTACCCACACTTGGCTTGCTTCTATTGGGGATTTGTATAACGTAATTTAAAGCCAAATTGATGGCTTAAACTCGCAATATGAGTATTCAGCCACGGGGAACAGTTCAGGGGAACGGAATGGTCGTACAGTATCCCAGTCAAGGGGAAAATAGCATCATAGAAATTTTCTGTCGTGGTGGAAATAGATGAATTCTTCGCTCTAATTAGCACGGCTTTCAATGCTGGGTTGAAGCCCTTGAGCCCACCACGAAGATTCTAGGCCATGCATTCACCAAGAGATGCCTGGTACTTTTGTTCGAGATGTGCATTTAGGACGGCTCACCTTTGAATTCTCGTAATCTTATTGGCCGAAGTCTCGCCCACTTTTAAAACCCTGGCATGAATTGGACATTTTATTTTAACGTCCCTATCACAACACCTACCACAGCACGACCAGAATCTATTCAATTAACACTACAAGCACTCTACTCGCTAGAGAGTAATGACTAAATGCCTTGGTCTGCCCTCAAGGTAGGGCAAGAAAAGATGACTTTGTTCAAAATGTACCACTAGTGCCTGTTTAAGACTAGTGCTTATGCCGCTTGCCAAGACGGCCATCGCGACGATCATCTTCGTGCTAACTGCTCCAGGGTCTACCTCACTCGGACTGAAGAAGCACGGGAAATTTCATCATCATGACTAAGAAACAACAGAAAGCTTAGTTTAATCTGACTTGCCTGTAGAGCTGTTAACGATACGATATCGGCACTGTTTTCCCATATCGTCAATCGGCATCGTCAACTTCGAAGTCTGCCGATATCGTATCGGCAATCGCGATCGACAGTTTAAGAAATTGTCGATACGATATCGGCAAATTATATTATCGTCGGCGATATATCGCCACCGGTAATTGGACAATAAGAGAATATTTCCTGGTCCTAGATATAGAAGACTTTGCTACAAAGAGAATGTTAGCTTAGATACTCGTTAATTAGGGCAATTCGCTCCCGTTACGTAGTCCTACGTCGTGTTGTTGCCGTGCTATGTGGCTGGATATTTATATATTTTACGTTGCTCTGTCGTCATATCAACTAACTCTGTACTTGCAAAGTATATATCTAATCCTTTGTAAGTTGCTTCCATCCCTCTGCGCATACATATACATATATATGTCTATGTTATAGGCTTCTCCGTCCCAGCATACCATCATATTACCTGTTCTATTCTATGGCTACGCTTTGCTTCTTCCATTATGCTATATGGCAGATTATCCAGAGGTCATAAGGGTTCAATCCTATTTTATGGTTCAACTCTATTTAGACGCGACGCGTCTGAAAGACTGGGACGCGTACCTCGACCTCTTCTTGGTTGACAGTGACCTGCTCTTCCAGACACTAACCAGCTCCATACATGACTCTTCAACCCTGGTTCTACTGAACCACTGGGCCCACATCAACAGCGAGCTGCGATCAGCAAGTCGTATTCATCCGCACTGCACCAGTGGGCTGGTGTATCCAACACAAAATGCGTACGCGGCAGAAACGCCTCAACTACCGAGTTCTGAATGATGAGAGCGATGACGAGTCTTTGCCTGAGGATCAAATTGACCAATCAAGCGAATCAAGCGAGCCACCGAGCAATCTCCCACGTACTCTCCCAACCTGTCAAAAAGATGTGGTAATCCTCACCAACATACCAGATTGTGAGCTCCTACCTTCCGAGTCTGTATCACAAGTGCTAGTATCGCAAGAGAGCTCAACAGATGCTGGTACTTCAATCACAAGCCACATATCCTCTCAATGGTGCAAACGACCAGCGCCGGCTACAGAGTGGATCTGGGGGTACTTCGAGAGTACAGCCGTTGATTGTCCATGGGTTATCAAGAGGACCAACAAGAGGAGGCTGGTCGACCGAGAGATTTGCTGCATGCATGTAGATGAGAAAACGGGAACACGCTGTGACTGGCATACGTCAGATTCCCAGCGGCAAAATACAACCAGCAACATGAAAACCCACTTGGTAAAGCATGGCATTTACTGTCCGACCTCCAGTATACAGCCAGCGAAGAAGGGACCAGACATTCGGAGTTTTATGGGTGGTAAACAGAGTCTCACCCATCAAGAGGTCTTGGAAAGGAATACCATTCGCTGGATTGTGACTGATATGAAAGCTTTCGCCACTGTTGAGTCTCCAGAGTTCCAACAAATGTTCCGAGACATTCCTGGGATTGAGCCTCCTTTCACTTCTCACCACACCTTGCGGGATCGGATTATGCAAGAGTTCGCCATACAGCGCACTAACCTGAAGACTGAGCTGACTTTGGCTTGCAAAACCATTGCCTTATCACTGGATATCTGGACAAGCCAGAACCATCTTCCTATCTTAGGGATAATTGGTCATTGGCTGACTGACGAATTTGAGTACCGCGAGAAATTACTCGAGTTCGCCGAACTCCAGGGCATTCATAGTGGCGAAAATCTGGCAATTGCAGTGGAAAATATGCTTATCGAGTTGAGTCTCGAGGACAAGCTCATTTCCATTACAGGCGACAACGCCAGTAACAATGAGGCCATGGCCTCGGAGTTATACTTCTCCCTTTCCGACCGACCTAGGGTGGAAGACGCAATGCAAGCACCACTTTATCGAGGTCTTGACAGCTACATCCGCTGCCTGGCTCATGTCCTCAATCTGATTGCGAAAGATATCCTCCGTAACCTGGGGTCAGGGACGATGGAACAAGCGCAAGTTGCCTGTGACCGTTTACAGACTGGTGACTCGATCACCGATCAGTCAGCTATAGGGAGATTACGGGTCTTCGCTCTTTGGATTAACCGAAGTCCTCAGCGCCGACAGAAATGGAAGGAGATTTGCAGACTCAACAATCTTCCAGACAAGTTCGTTGCATACGATGTGACGACATGATGGAACTCAACATTTCGCATGATCGACGATGGCTTGAAGTCAAGGCAACAAGTCAACAAGTTCCTAACCCTTCAGGAGGAACTCCCGCCGTTCACTCTCCAAGATTGGTCACGACTGGAGCAGATTCACACAGTACTCCACAAGTTCAATGAGCTTACTTTGTTCATTTCGAAACGCAATCCACAAATCAGCCTCGCAGTCCCAATTTACTATGAGCTACACGAATTGCTTGATGACGTGATGGAGGGCAATGGTGACTTCACAACACTGGATCGGGATATCATAGCTGCAGTGAAAGAAGGAATGAAGAAATACGAAAAGTACTATTCTATTATGGATGACTGTGATACCTATTACCCTGCCCTTGTCTTGGATCCCCGAGTCAAAGGCGAAATGGTCTTACGGGAACTTCAAGATAGCAATGCCGGGACAATGATTCTGGAGACGATCCGCACCAATCTACATCAGGTCTACGCGGCTGGTAAACCGGAGCATGATGCCGCTGCATCAAGATCGTCTTCCTTGCAGCATAGTGATGTGGAGTCTAGAATGCTGAAGAAGTTGCAGGCGCGAGACCCACCGCTCTCAGATATTGATAAGTACTTTGACACCCCTCCGATCAGCGTCGCAGATACTACCGGCCAGAACTGGCTCTGCAATTGGTGGAAGATGCACAAGGGCGAGTATCCGCGGATTGCAGCAGCAGCCAGGGACTATCTAGCGATTCCAGCCTCTGAAGTTGCTGTTGAGAGAGTGTTTAGTACAGCGAGGGATGTGCTAGGCATCCCGAGATATTCTTTGAATGGGGATACCATTAGAATGCTGATGTTGAGTTGCGATGGGTATAAGTGGTAGAGGCCAGGGGTGGAGGTTGGTTAAATTAATATTCCGGTTCTGCATTCATAAACTGTCAAATAAAATTGCGTTCGCTCTTTAGATGATTCTAAAAGAGAATTGTGCCGATGCCGATACGATATTACGATATCGTGAGTGGCGATATCGTCAAGTTTGAAGCCTACCGATATCGTACCGGCAATCGGCATCGGCAAATTCAAAAGCAGCCGATATCGTATCGCCTGTCGATATCGTATCGTCAATATCGGTATATCGGCAATATCGTCAACAGCCCTACTTGCCTGAAATGATCATGCATGCGGAAGATCGTGATTGACTCCGTTTCTTGGAAATAAAACCTCTAGCGTGTCTCAGAAAGAGTTTTCAATATTACCTTTGGCGCATGAATTAAAAGTATTGAGATGTTACTACTATTTTTCTGCCGTATATTAATAGAATTTTTATGTCCTAATTTGGATTCACAATTACCCTTCGGATTGTGTCCTGTTGACAATTCTCATAATCCCCAGTGTGTCTCTCGGAAAGGTATCCATCTTGTCGTCACATATATTACGGAATATATTGTTTCATCGTTGCATGAAAAGATCGACATGTTGCCCCCCCATATGCACAGTTCGTATTTTCCCATGCCCAAACAGGCCCCACGTGCTTGCATCATTCCTGTAGTTTGATCGTGCTCGAGCCTATATTTTTGCTACTAGGAAGTATCACCTATCACCCGCCTACACACCGAGAGCTTAAAGTATGGAGATGACATTCTGATATGCATCTTTCAATTAGCTGATTTCCTAAGACACCTTCAAGTCCCGTAATAAGACTTTAGTTCGAGGATTTTCTATTTGACTAAGTGAAAGAAGGAATGGCCAAGAATTGGTGAAAAGCTTTTTCCTTTTCTTTTGTTTTCAGTGACTTCAGCCTATATCCTGCGAGGCTGGCAAACAGACTTTTTAGCGGCAAAACTACTCGTGAATGGTCTCATGTTCGAATATATTTCTACTCTATCTCACTGGAGAATTTCAACTTTCATAACTTGAACTTCTGGCAAATGACCAAAGGACGATTGAAGTTCTGTGGAACCACCTGGGCAGTATAGATTTTGATCCGTAGTTTCCGGAGTAGATGAGACATTATTCCTGTAGCCGAGCGTTTGTGAGACAGCGTTTTTGCGCAGTATGTTTTGCTTTTTTTTTCAACGTCTTCTGTTTTGTGATTAATACACTACTTAAAAAGGGATGTCAGCCTTATGCACAGTTATGTGAATGCTGTAAAGTCTTTCTGCTAACACCCTTTATCGCCTCCTAGATTGGCAGCTTTGTGAAGCGACAAAGCACAGACAACAGACTTTTCCATACCATGGCAAACAGTGAATACATTGTACTACACAATTGGCTAGATGGCAGCAGGTCAGGTGAGCAATTATTATCTGGTTTGTCGTACCGGTATTGTGAAAAATGATAGGGAGACAGTAATGACCTCGGGGCGATGTATAAATTGAATTTTTCCCTTATTATGCTGATGAGCGCTGATTCCCTAGTTGGAACTTGTCATTTGTCGCCCAGGATCTTTAATTTTGTGTCAATAATGGATCCGCTGTCCGGAGAAAGCACATTCACCTACCACGGACTTCAGATAACTCGTGATTCCACTGAACGAGCGAAGAAAAGAAGTTGGGTTTCGGCTCTTTATGCATATTTCATAAACATAACGAAGGCCAACAATGGACCAAATCCCGAAACCACCGACATTTATGCAACAATGCATACCTCACCGGAACCTGCTCAAGTTGATCAAATAAAGCAGCAGATTAGGACTTTTCTCCAAGATTTCAAATTCTACCGCAACTGTCCGTTTCTCAAAGATCTTGAGCTTGAAGTCGCTGTCTGGAATTACTTTCAAAATCTTGAATTAGGAGAGACAGAGAAATCGGTCCGACGAACCCTCCAGATTTCTGTGACATTTACCGAACAAGCGTACACAGCGCTTCACTTCAAAGTCAAGGTCGTTTGTGCTATACAGTCCCTTTACATGTTTCTAATTGATGATATCGCGGACAACTTCATGGAGGATCTTCAATAATTAGGACAGAAGTAAGCTTGAACTCCCCTCTTGGTTTGTCATAACCATATATACGTATCGTTACACTAAAATACTTAGTTTTGTCCTCAACAATCCCCATCGACATCCCCTGTTGAATGGTTTCGATCGTCACCTTCGTGAACTCTCCTTATATTACGGCCCATACTGCCATTCCGCGATCGTGAAATCCTCGTTCGACTATGTTAATGGGCGCATTATCGAGAATAGGGTAGACCAGTTTGAAATCAAGTTTTGTGCGGACTCTCGACTTATGCCTATGCTTTTAAGAGCCAAAGTTGGGGGTGCGGAGATCCTCCTTCATCTTCTATGGTCAAACACCAACTTTCCCGAATCGGAATACGTGGTACAATACTTTCCCGCACTTCAAGATCTAATTCTTTTCACCGACTTCACCAACGATATTTTATCATAATTATAAGGAGTTCGTTCTTAGGGACGAAAAGTGGAACTTCGTGGACAACTTTGCTCAAATACATGATATACTGCACTTGGGTGTTTTACGGCACCTGACCAGTCACACGCCCAAAGTAAAAGATCACCCTGGACCTACATGGCAAACTGGTATCGTTATTATAGAACCCCTCCTCGAGAAATCCATCGGCTGACAATCTATCACATGGAGGCAATGGATCGACTGAAAGCTTCCGTTGGGTCGTTGGTCAGTTTATCCACGAGAATCGCGGCCACTCAAGCCAGGTTCTACATCCGTCTGTTAACCAGTCCACTGGATCTGTAGCTACACAGGTAGCTACTTCTGTTGGTAGCTCGAGGAACTATATGATGTCTCCAAGCGCCATAAAGACTGAAAATCAAGATCTGCTCCCACTGAACGCGAGAAAGAGAGTAGCCGAGTCCTCAACCCTCCCACGAAAGCAAAGTCGACACTCATCCTCCACATCTCAAATACAGGGCCGCTCACAACTTACGGCCCAAGAAATGCATTGAAAGAGACCCTTAACCCTTATAACAATTAGTAGGAAATTGGTTAGCGATACAATTATATACCTACAAACGCTATCCAACCGCATCTTGGTCTCCGACACCATCTCCTCCACGGAGTGGGCCACGATGCATCTCGCCACGAAATTGCTACAGAGCAGGTACGAAGATATCATTGCGAGGGAAAAGATGGAAACAGACGCTGTGTCCGAGTTTACTTTCCCACCGACACAGACAGAAGAGAAGTGCCAGAAGTGTGCTGCTGCGGATGAGGAGCGGCTGTATGACTGAGGGGCTACTCGTTCTTACCACATTGTTGGTTATATTTTGGTGGAATAACTGGTTTTTGAAAATGAGCGAGCAAATATAGTTGTTTTGTAACCAAGAATCAGTATTTAAGAACTCGGTAAGCTTCAAGTCTATCAGTCCATGAGTAAAGAACTTTCAGGTGCGGAGGTGAGCTGAACATTTCCTGTGGGTGGTGAGTCTACTTGACAAGCAAAACTGAGTATGTGAAAGCTAGCTGCATCTTTATCTCCAATCAATGAATAGAGATTAGAGAAGTTAGAAAGTGCATGCATGTACCAGGCAAATCGGAATTGGAATGATGAAGAAATAGCATTTCCTGGAATTGCCTCGAATATCAAAAACAGCCGCTCTTTAGGTTATTCAACCCGCTTCCCTCGTAGCGCTGCAATGGCTCTGTGATCTACCATTTACAAGAACTGAAATACTTTTGCGGCTCTGTTAGTCGGCTCATGACTGCTAGTCTTTACAACTCAGCCGTTTTGCGGTCATTCTGTGTCTAAATGCCAGCATATTACTTCAGATGAACCAATAGGGCATCACTTGTAGACTATAATAGACTCTAGTATCGGTACGACAGGAAAATTAGAGCGTCGAGACCAAAATCAGCCGTGCCAGTATTCGTCGGACAATGGTGTGAGGGCGACTCGCCGTGCTGAAAGGCGAGCTTCCAAGTCAAAGGCATACCTAACCATAAGCAAGCCCACCGAACTCTTTCTTTTTATCTAGCCAGGGTGGTGGTTATAGCGTCAACTAGACACTGGTCGCTTACAAGTTGAGAGTGATCATTTAATGGCTATGTAAGTGGAGCTCCCAATGCGCAGGGCAAGAATCAGTGGCAAGTTTGACATTTCATGGGCCTACCAATTACTGGAGTAAATATCCCATGCGTTACCCTATGCGCTCATTGACATGAGCATATCATGGGCGAAAAACCTAATGGAGGCCGTCGTTATAGAGATGCTATCGCGGACTTTGGCTCGTTGATAGCTTCCGTCTTTTTATTTTTGGATCGTTCTCAGTCGTAGGAAACCTAGAATTTGTCCCTGGACAGCATTCCCTTACCAGGAAGCACCTCTATGGGTAACAAGATCCTAAGGGAGTTGAGTTAGGGGCCCACTATGCTGAACAGTGCGGTCGTGTGTCGGTTCGTATGAAAATCCTCAATTAGCTCGAGACTAATGTTCACGAGGGCCGAACAGCACATAGCAGTCGTAAAAGGCTATATTCGCCGATGACAGTTTGCATGTAAGCCCCGTGCTCACCAGCCTCATCTTATGACAGTCGATCGAAGCTGCCCTCTCCTATGGTTGACGAGAGCCCAAATTTTAACAACGCGCGTACAAAATTAATGAAATTTCACTTTCCCTCTCCTTCTTGATTCTTGCACGTATTGAATTGGAAGGAACACACTTTCTCATCATGTCGACCAATCCATTCAAAGACAACATGATATGTGACCTTGGCACTATGAAGGCTCAATCACAGCTCCCCATCTCGATGTCAATCCCCATCATCTGTGAGAGTCAGGCGCCAGCCCCTACGAAACCAACCGGATCTTGCCGCCGCAGCAGGTTGAAGGTTGTCACTGGGCCTCCCAAAAGCCTTTGTCTACCCCGCTTGTGTGGCCTTGAAAACAATGCATCCGTATTGATTGTAAGACAAGAGTCGCCGTGGGATACCTATCGGAAAGTCATTACGTATGAGATCGCTGGCAAAGTTACAATTGCCACACGCCGCACCCGCCCATCTCGCATGGTAGCCATCCGGACATACGCGAAAGAGAATGATCGAAGATTGATACAGATTCGGACGTCTGGAACACAGGAACGTTCTCTCCTTACACCAATGCTACATGCACGAAGATCTCGCATTTTTCTTGGTTAATGACTTGCCGCTGACACTAGCGCAAGTTGTCGCTTTTCCATCTGTTTATCCCAGCGAGATAGAATTGGGATCCAGTATATGTCTGGTTTGTCCCTCATGCCCTTTCTATGAGCTGTTCTGACTTTTTAGATCCTCGATGGTGCCTGCTATTTATTTTTATTTGGCCTTGCGCACCAATCACTGGCCTGTGATGATATATTATTTGGCATTGACGGGATCATCAAGATAGGTTTGTTGGTGGCCGCATCCTTGCATTATCTGAGTAACATTTCGCAGCAAGTTTGGACCTTTGTATAGATTGCACGCCAAAGCAATCTGAAGCCGGCTATATTGCGGCCCGTCAGTCGATAATGATGCGGCTCATGCAGAAATATGACAAAGATCAAGGCGTTGTTGGCGTGAATGATCTGGAGCGATGGCCAATCGATTCTGCCGCTGTGGGTTTTTTGTCCGCTACCGAGACGGCAGGATCAATCAAGTCTCTGAATCATGTGAGTTCTCCTAGCAAGGTATCGTATTCTGCTAATATCCAGTAGCAACCCCTGTTGGCGGGGAAGCACCGCCCAAGCGATGATCTGGTCGTTCTCGCAAGAGCAGCTCTGCTCTCCAGTAGTGTGAATTTCATTTACAATCCCGAGTTCCAATCGCTAACGGACCAAGATATGGTGCACAGTTCTCAGATATTCGCAAGTTCTCATCATGGTCGTACGGCCTCACCAATATGCAACATTCTACGCGTCTCCTACAGTTCTATTTTTAAAAAGTCTCTCTACTAAAAAAAACCTAGCTCTTCAAAACCCAATATTGAGATCGCAAAGGTACTGAATTGCCAGATGTCCATAAGAGATGAGTTTTAATCAGCAAGAACCCAAGAAGTAGAACAGAGAAAATTACCCAATTAACTTGAATGTTTCAGAAGTACGTATGTAGCTTGTAGACTTCAACCACGTGGTGAATACTGGGAAGCGAAAACAACTGGTCAGCAACGGCATTCACGGGCAAAGACTCCGGCTTTTATTACCTCCAAGGCCTGGCTACAGTAGTGATAGTCTTTAACACTCTTAAGTTGAGTTGGAAAGAGCCAGTCTCCGGTTGGTTAATTTCACCACGATCGTAAACTATGAGGGTTGGTTGGCGTACGAGCTTGTCCACGCCAACTCTATTGTTTCTCGCCCCCATCCACATTTCCCTCGGCACCATAACTTATTTATACAGACCTTTCCCTCAGCTTTCATCGACCTTAATGTTTGCACAGAACACATCATTTTAAAGCTGTGATTTGCAACAACCACCACAAACGGCATGTATCACGTTACTGCTCTGCCCCTGACAACCTCCCTCCTGGGAATGGTAGCTGCCACTGTGACGGCCTAAGCGTTCAATTATCACTCAACTTACGTTGACGGAAAACCAGTAATTTGACTGACAACCCTCACAGGTGTACATACAGTATTCGACTTTGGTGAAATGTTAAGAGGTTGAAACACAGACAATCGAAGGCACTAGCAGCCTTGTAGGAGTCTCACATCAGCACTAGACAAAAGTGGGTCGCAGGATCAACGCTGGACCTGGTTACAATTTCCAACGCTCTTCCACTTCTCCCTCTCTACATCTCGACATGGCTGGAATTCTAGGCCACCGGGTGATCTTCTGGGCCTTTATCGTCCTCGCCACAGGCGTGATTTACAGAACGTACATACACAACTTCATCTTCCTCACCCTCGGTATCGGACGAGAGATCCAACCAATCGAGGACTTCCCATGGACCTGTACACGCGTCCGGCACTCTCTCTTGGAGGGCTGTGAAGATCTGTGGCTCGATGAGCAGGATCGAAAACTGTACGCAGCATGCAACAGCCTGGAGTCTCGCAAGGGTTGGTCGCCTGGAGGCAATCTTTACAACATCTCCGCGAGATCCCGCACGGATCACATCGCTGTTATCGATGTTGACCAACCTGGCTCAGATGGACTGTACGGTCTACGCCAGCTCAAAATCGGCGGATATCAGGATGATCTTGACTTGCATGGATTTGATGTCCGCAAGATTGAAGGCCGGCTTCGGTTCTGGTTGATCAACCACAGACCTCCTGTTGACCATGTCACTGGAGAATTTCTTGATGCTCTGGTCGTTGGGGCAAATTCTACTGTTAAGATGTTTGATCTTGATGAGACCTCGGGCACGCTTGAGCATGTTAAGACTGTGGCCAGCGAGGCGATTTTCACGCCCAATGGTGTGGCAGTGGAAGAAGATGGTCTGGGATTCGTGATCACAAACGACCACAACACCAAGACTGGAACCTTCCGTGATCTGGAAATGCTGTCTGGAGGCGGAAGCCTCGCATACTGTCGATCTGACACAGGGAGATGCCATATCGCGGCTGACGAGGGATTCTCCATGGCTAATGGAATAGCCCACGACAAGAATGGCTACTACTACGTCGCTAACTCTGCGTCTGGCCTCATCACCGTTCATAAACTCGTCAATAACGAATTGATCCATGTTGAATCGATCAATACCGGGTACCCACTGGATAACCTGTGGCTTGATGCAGATGGCAACCTCATTGCAGCTGCGTTCCCTGATTCAATTGCTTTTGTGAAATCCAGCATGGATCCATACAATGTTGTTGCCCCTGCTACTGTTCTCTCGATCAATGACATTGCAAAGCAGTTAAAGACATCTGGAAAGAATGTCAAAGTGTCAAAATTGGCGGAGGATAGAGATGCTAAGAGCCTTCCCAGCTCGACAGTCGCTGTGCACGATACAAAGGGTCATAAGCTGATTTTGGCGGGTATATTCTCTCCATTCATCACAATTTGTGAGCAGTGTCTCTAATCATCTATGTCCAAGAGATGAATGCGATATCGGTCGATACATTTCAGAGACTTCGTTGTACATAACTCTACAATTAGAACACTCACTCCGTTGGGTTGTGATACATATATGCGAAGGGGATGAACATTCATTAAGTGTTTCTTCGGGGCTGGGTGACTCTTAGACAGATGGTGCAGATTCAAACTATAAATAGTAACCAGGAGAGGGAGCATACAAGGGAGTTTGGCCCCAAAGATCCTGTCGGCAGGAATCATCATCATTATCAAGAGGAATGTAGGACATCCCCCCCAATGCAGAAAATGCCACTGAAGAACCTAGTAACATGGTTTGGCGTTAGCTTGGTACATCAAAGTGAGAAAGACTTAAGCGCCGCAACAATACCGTATCTGAAGAAGATGATACATGGCTATAATACCTGTGATATTCAGGTCTGTCGGCTACACATTTGGTATGGCAGATAGAATCAATCGGTGAGCAGACCCTTCCGCTTCCGCATCTAAGTCAACCAGCAGACCAATGAGTTAGACATGGTCAGTGCGGTCGAGGACCTGCTAAACACTCTCCTTGAAGTCAATATTATAGAAAAATGCTATGTATGTTAACAAGCTCAGAACGGGAACTTTGTTTGGTGCCGGGAGAAATACGCGTACAGATCATTAGTATGTCAATCTACATTGAGCGCGGGCTTGCACATGATAAGACACCGATAGGAAAACATGAAAGACCTGCTTTTACCAAGTTATACCCGATTATGATGATATAGTCTCGCTCGAGGCCTCGAGAGACCAGATAGAGAGGCTGCCGAACATTCGCGATGAGCAAGGCCGAACATTCGCGATGAGTAAGGCCAGACCTTGGTGATGGGTAAGTGAACCTCCTTCGTCCTGTCCCATTCTGCCAAATACTGATCTCTTTCTAGTTTCCGCAGCTTCTAGTGCGAGGTATCAGATACGAAAGACTGTTCAAAAATTCTTGCACCGAGGCGTGAAGCTTTCGGAGCTGGAGTACCAGCCTGAGCAGTGAATAAGAGAAAGTTTGCATGGAAAGGAAGCAACGAATTGTCACGGGTAATAATTCTAAATGGATCTGTCTTACTTGCATTCGAAACCTCATCACATCATGGATGGTTGGGCAATAAGGATGCGATCCACGGCGAACAGTCTCGGACAATGGTTTGGGTTATCTCAGTCCAGAACAAGTGGAGTGTATTCGCAAGGATGAGATGGCCTCAAAATACTGGATGTCGAAGTTATAAATGCCAGACAAAAAAGTACATTTCTCTAGTATAATTTTTCCGGTTTCGAGAGTGCTTGATACACACGCTGATTTGACCTCCGAGTCCAACTAATCAGTGGGGGTGAAAGGATTATTTGGTCGATTTGGACATTGCCGGGGTCAGGCGCCCCCCTGGGGAAGGGCTCGACGATAAATTTCTTGGTGGTGCAGATATCTCAATTATTTTCAGTCAAGATTGACCGGCGTATATCTTTATAGCAACACAAACGGTTGAGAAAAGGGGGACAGGAAGACTTCAGATACTGTATCGTGAATTCTTCTTCTTCCACTAGTTAGGATATTTCTGCTGTAGCTCACAGAGCAGTATCTGTATCGCATCGCATCCCGGTGTCATCCCCAAACGTTCGTCGTCGGCCTGGGTGTGTACAGTAGAATTTGAAAATAGATTACATGTTCCCCTCAAGACACACAAGCTTTCTTTCCCAGAGCCCCACTTATATAGCGGTAGCCCAAACTCGGATAAAATTGTCCCACAACTATTTCTTTTTGTACTTCTGGTAGACCACAAAAGTTACCGTAATGACAGGTCCCGGCAAGGGCTAATCATATTTGTTCATACACTCTGTACTGTACATGCGGCATACATATCGCTGTCACGCTTAACAAATTAATGTAAATTACCGTATATTGCCATGAGGAGTAATCTGAAACGTGCAAAAAGAAATGGAAGGAGATTATGCGGATTAGGATTATGCTCTCTTAACTTCTTTTCCGCTACCTCTCTCTCAAATTACAAGGTGGCATATGCTCATACACGGCTTAACCACAATTTCATCTAATGACTCAACCACCAGGTATTGCTGACATATGCAACACCACTCTTTGGTCAACTGTATCTGACTTTAATATTGAAGATAGATCGACCTTGACCGGCAAGGACCAAGCACCCGGCGATGAACCCCAATATCAACAGCGTGAAGCGCAGAAATACCGTCGTGCTGTATGTTCTCTAGTTGAAAAGATACAAAACTGCAGCGAGGAGGAGCTCCAAGAGCTATTGATGTCCATCCGAAGCGTGAGTAGCCTGGCTGAGGCCAGACAACAAGCTTTGGATCTCAAATATTGTTGATGGACGGCCGAGCAGTGCTACAAAGTGGAGGTCTAGAAAGGGCTGCGAAACGATCCTTGAATCTACTCTCATGATTACGACTCCTAGCTTGTAATCTACACCCACGGCGATGAATCTGTTGATAGAGATATTGTGTTGAGAGAAATCCATGTCGAGAGTGGGTAATCGCGGGGTAGGAGTGTACAAGAATTTCATGTTGAGTACAGTACTTTACATAAAGAGCTCGTCCTGGAATCTAAGTTCATTTGCCCAGGGAATCATTACTTACGGTTTACCACTTACCAATACCAATGCCGGAACTTGCCATTACGGTAATTTGGTGAACCACCAGGAATACGTGAAGAAAAGATGGCGGGGCACTCATTGGCCTAATGAGGTCTAGCGCGGTATGAGTGGGGCGCTGGGAAAGAAGACGTGTGTGTGCCGAGCGGGCGCTAGCGGCACCCACCCGCGGGGCCTCCGAGCCCCTTCCAATCTGGAACAGGCGACGGTCGGCGGAACCGTTGAACCCGGAGATCATGTCAAGATTCTTGGCGTCATAATGGATACGAGACTCAAATACAAGGAACACATCGTGAGGGCAGCGTCCAAGGGACGCGAGGCGGCGATGGAGCTTCGGCGGCTTCGGGGACTATCCCCCGCAACAGCGCGGCAGCTATTCACCTCGACGGTGGCCCCGGGGTGGACTATGCAGTGGCCATCAGGCAGTTAAGATAAAATGTTGACAATATAGAGTGCAGCGATAAATCCATGTGTGAGGACACTTGATATTAAGTACCCTGTACTTTCAATGGCTTGGTCTTATCATACCTCACAATTAGTTAGCAGTTGGGTCTTGGGATCCGTCAAAATCTGGGACGCAGTTATCAGTCAATGCGCGCGGATATATTGATCACAAAAATGTCAAACTATTCGCGCCCGTAGATTACAAAAGCTAGTTATTTAGCAGACTGGGGAGCTTGTGGTGATTGGCTTGGAAATTCAACATGGGGAACTAAGATTACAGACCAGATAAGATACTTTGGAGTTATATTTTAAAAGCCAGCTAATCTAACAATCCTGGTTCTTAACTGAGCTTCATCCCGGCTGGTGGGTAAGTGGGCAACCTTGGACAGCCATGTTAAATGAAATGCCTACGGTTCCTGGAGCCCGAGATCAATCTCATATTCAAGCTTCGACCCGTGCCGACAGAGAAGATTCCTACAAAAAAGCCAGGCCCGCCGCGAGGACGAATCCTTAGTGGACATCTCACCTATCCACCGGATAGCCTTTTCGACCTTCTTGCCGATGCCGATAGTAACACGGGAATTCAGCAGATCTTGATTGAATACCGCAATCAGGAGAACACTGGTCGATTGTATGATATAGTGGAGGACACACCACCATGGAGTGACCCTGTATAGCCAGGCTACGTCTACCTTCTCGGGCAAGAGGTTGATCATTTGCATCGCCACTTGAACACATGTGGTCGCCAAAGTTTCGCAGACAGACCCGGGTTGTGGCAACCGGGTAAGACGACGAAGACAAGGCTGTAAGATGATTAACTTGGTGGTATAGAAACGGAAAGCCAGGCCGATGCGTTGAAGTACAAATGGCCGAGCTTCAGCTAACTCTGTGGCATGGAACTCAACTGGCAGGTGTGAGAACCAACTGTCGGCATCGTTATTGAAAGTTGAAATCGCTAGTTCAATCTCAAGCCACGATCGTCGCGCCGTCCCGGGAGCGTACAGAGTATCAATAGCCTCTCGTAAAAGGAATGACAAGTCCACCATGTATAAAAGCGATGACATGCTATGAATAGGAGTAAGTGATGGGACATGAGTAGATTGCTCATCTGCCACTTCTGTGTTCGACCCATACTGTGCTGGATTTGTGTGATCCAATGTGTCCTCTCGCGCCTGGGCTGCGGGATCCTCAGCAAATACAGAGGGTATAAGGGTATTCCGGGATGCTTAATTGGTAATACGCTGCACTACACGCTGCACTCCAAAGTCCTCTTCAGAGGGAATAGGAAGCGGTAGTGTGCAGTTAGATCATCCGATACAAGGCGGCTGGCCCATAATGACGCATAGGACCGTGTCCAACATGAATAATGCCCACCATACGCGGCATCGAGTCTCTGAATAGGCCTCAATAGTATCGTTCTGGCTACAGTTGAGTCCCATCGCCATAGCCGATCGGATTGCGACCGCAAGAAGCCTCGATGACCTGAAGAAAAGGCAAGACCAGAAGTGAATATAAATTATTAGCAGCTAAATTTAAATGCACATGACATACCGATGGACCTGACCAATCGAAAGGAGGTAGAAGGCAGTCAAAGCCTCGATCTGCACTTGCTGCAGATTGAGATCGTCTGACAATATACTGCCGCTCATGCCCAACCACCATGAGCGCGAAAAGTACACCTCATGCTGATCATGTTTCCCGAGAGACCGTTCGTCCACAAGTAGCGAATGTCTCGCTGAAATGGCCATTATAAGGTTTAAAATTGCCAACCATCGTTTCCCGGGTCGCATATTCCGGTTCGAGTAGAAAGAACGGTATTGGTTCAAGAATGTCGTCTTCTCGATAAGTAGGAATGTTGAGTGTACGGTCTGGAAATAGCCGTCGACTAGTCAGTCCGCAATGTGTTGGTGAGGGTATCCTAGCAGATCCACATCCTCGAGGGGGGCGATATTCAACTCATCTTGAAAGTAGTTCACAGAAGATATGGAAGAGGACTCAACATTTCCTCCATCGGGAGTTACTTTACCCGAGTCGAGGTCACGGATGAGTCTGTAAAGCCACACTCTCTCTGAATGCTCACCCACATAGCCCATGGCCTGCACTCGTTCGTCGCAGTCGAAATCTTCTTTGGTACAGTCTATACCTCCCAGACAGGTCGCATTTTTGACGTCTGCGTGAGCAGAAAAAGAGCTCGAACCCCTCATTGGACCTGGAAATGGTAAGGCGCAGATGCGATACGCAAAGAAAACGAGGTTTTTGGCTTGGCTGAGTAGTTGTAGTTTGGATCGCACTCATAGGAATTCTCTTGCTGCAAATGGAGAGTAGATAGAGTGGCGAAGAGATGTCTAGGGGTCATTGGGTGGCCCCGATGAGCAGAGATATGGGTTTGTCAATAGTAATCACGTGGGGTGTGTAAACGAAGCAAACACTGTTGGGGCGTTGGAGGGCTCGAATATTCATTCCGCCAGTTCACGCTGGTGTGGTAAGTATGCTTGGACAAATTACGCCGCGCCAAATAATAACAGAAGATGGTCCATATTGCTGCCCGCGCAGTCATGGATGGAAGGATGCCCAGGAGTAATATGCAAGCGAGGGGCAAGGTCTCAGGCGGTGGTGTTATGGCTCCAGCCCTTTCTTTCATGCCTTATTCACAAGATATGCAATCGAATTGAATTGGAGATTTGACTCAAGAAAATATATCAACCAACGCAGCCCTGTCCACAGCAACACCGCGGCTCCAGGACCACCGGAGATAAGTGAAAGTGAACACTAGAACTTAGATCTCAACATTAACTTTCGATGGCAATTTTGACCCGTGCAGTGAGAGAATATCTATACAGACAAGCCAGGCTCGTCGTGAGGATGAATGGTTGATAGAAATCGCTCGCAACCAGCGGATGGCCTTCTCGACCTTCTTAGCGAGGACGGTGGCCTCGGTGGATCCCCGTTGACCTTGTGCAAAGAGCTCGATCAGGAGGACGGTGGTGGACTGCATCATATAGTGTACGACACACCACCAGGGTGAAACCCCGTAGAGCCAGTTCACATCCGCCTCATCGGGTAGCATATCTAGCATCTGGCATGCGGCTTGCACGCACATGGATGCCATGGTATCGCACACGGTGCTGGAGGTGGCACCGGGGGGGTTGGCGGGCGAGGTGGCGGAGGCAGGGCTGGGTGATGACTAACTTAGTGGTATAGAAGCGGAAGCCTAGGCTGATGCGTTGGCGGATAAAAGTTTGGTGTATTTCTAATGCCCCAAAGTGAAACTCTGCTGGAAGACGGGAGAGCCAATTGTCAGTACTACTGTTAAAAGTAAAGATAGCCGCCTCCATCTCTGGCCAGGATCGCCGCGCGGTCCCGGGTGCGTATAGGGTTTCGATTGCTTCCCGTAGCAGAGACGCCAAGTCTACAGCGCATAAGAGGTATAGGGACGTATTTGATATGTGAGCGTTTGTCATTCCTTGAGTAGTCGGATCGGTCCCATTGCTTGATCCACATTTTGTTGAGCGACTGCGTTCTGCCGTAGCCTCGCTCGGCCCTGGGGTCCTGAGGTTATTAGAGAGTAAGGATGTCAATAAAAATTTCCGAGCTTCCTGGTCGGTGATAAGTTGTGTAACTCCTTCCTCCCAAAAGTCTTCTTCTCTGCGGAGACGTGGAAGGGGAGTAGTGCAGAAAACCTCGTCGGTGCTTGGTGGTCGGCCAGCCACCACACACAGCACAGTATCCAATATGAACAACGCCCACCAAACGCTGTACCGAGTCTCTTGTGATATACAAGTAACGCCGTCACTCTCTATACGAAGATTGAGGCCTATGGTCACCGCTGACCGCATCGCGGTCCCGATGATTCGCCACGACCTAAGGGACGAGAACCAGTTAGGCAAAACTATTTAAACAATGGGATAACCAAATAGGCCCAATGACGTACCGATTCACTTGACCCGTGGACAGAAGATAGAAAGCAGCTAGGCCTTCCACCTGCACCTGCTCCAGACTTGGATGATTCAGCAACGCAATATCGCCCATGCTCAGCCGCCATGCCCGGGCAAAGTATGCCACATGGTCAGTGAAGTTTCCTTGCGGTTGTCTCTGGGCTAGCTCAGGAAGCCTCGCCGCGACGGCCAAGACCAGATTCAGCACAGCGACCCATCGCTTTCCGACTCGCACGTTGTTGTTCGAATAGAAGGATCGGTATTGGCCCATGAAGGCCTCCTTGCCAATGATGGGAAACTCGGGATGCACAGATTGGAAGTAGTCTTCAAGGAGTCTGTCCGCAATCTCCTGGGGCGGTCGGACTAGTAGGTCGACATCTTCAAGGCTTGTAATTATCGTTGTGTCCTGGAAGTAGTTGACGGATGATATCGAAGGTCGAGGAAGGCTGTCTCCGATGGTTTTGTTGTCTTGATCGAGATCGCGTTTGAGTCTGTACAACCATGCCATCTCCGAGTGTTCCCCCACGAAGCCCATCGCCTGCGACGCTAGATCGCGGTTGAAGTCCTCCTCGACGTGGGCTACGGCGACCAGAGAGTCCTCCGTCCTCCCCGTGCGAGATGCGAATGATTCTGGGTCCTGACCAGAATCATTCTGACAACTATACGTTAGAAAAGGAATAATAGCAATTAGGGACGGAGAAGGGCGGTAACTCGTACTCTGACTAATTTGCCGCTAAGCGTCTCGTCAACGCGCTGGGCCAACGAGGAATCCAGGTGGGGGTTCAGTTCTTGTAGCAAGTCTTCGTAAATATGAACCTGCGCGGTCAGATCCTTGATTTCGCTACAACTTGAGTTAGATGGGGGGGGTGGCCTTCTGCGAAACATTGAACGCACCGGAGCATCTTTTCTCTTTTCCGATCGCCGTAGGAACACGAGATGTGAAAATCCTGGCAACGTTGACAGGTGGGACGGTGACCACTGCATTTGGTCTTTTGCTTGCGGCAGTTCTCGCATGCTCTACCGACGCGGCTGCTGGCAGTATAGTTACCAGTGTATACAGAACGGGGGATGGGAACTTTCGAATTCAAAGGTCGCTCGCCCGGGTTGGGCCCCAGAGGCTCGCCGCCAGGAATGGGATCGATGTTGGTCTGGAACACAGACGGAGACGGCTGCACAAGTCCAGGAAAGGCATCATCGCAGCTGAATGGTTCCAATTGGCTTTCCAGGGTCTCTAAAGCATATTTGGGATCAGACGGGTGAGGGTGGGGACTGTAACTCATTGTGTTGGGAGGGGGTGAACTGGTTGGCACACTTGTGGGAATGGGGAAAGAGCAAATAGCAAGGATCTTTCTAGCCTAGCGTATTTAGAAGATCAAAAATAAAAAATAAATAAAAAAAAAGGTCGTAGAAAGTAGTAGCCCCAAGTGCTAACAAGGACAAAGACCAAGCATATCCCTTCTCTTCCTGTTGCTTTTTGAACCCATGTAGAATGGGCAAAATGATATACACCACGATATGATGAAAGAAAGTGTCGGTTGGATCCGCGAAATGCGACGCTATGGTATGCTGGATATGAGAGCCGTGACTTTTTGCCACCGATCCCCAGCCAACACCAAGATCATATAGCACCTGACTGGGATATTTTCCCCGTGCCTGTGGTGTGCTGTAAGGAGCTTGGAAATTGTACACTGTGTTGCTATTTATTCACTTTTCCCTGCGACACTTGCTGCTGCAGAGAAATTGGGCAGTAAATAACGATGATCGGGGTTGGTCCAGTAACGCAGCATCGAGTAGCCGCTAATCAACAAGTCGTGTTGCTGTGCTCCAGTGATTTTCTAGTGATTTGCTAGGATTCTAGAAACCTGGGAGGTGGTCGAGAATCGAATAACCTGAAGATGAGATCCTCTGGTCTTTTCGGCTGATACGTTTGTTGCGGTATTCCATGATCTTGATTTGACGAGTCCGTAGCCGAGCCGACCCAGTCAGGATCTTCACCAGCCCTGTATGGCTGCCCTGTACTCAACTTCATACAGAATCTTCGACGGTGGTGCCTTGCCAGCTGAGAGCCCAAAGAAGCTCTGTAGTAAGCGGAGAATATTTCTTGTCTTTCTGATGAGGCACGTCTCGCCTCGTTCCATTTCCGGGGCGTGCTCAAGAACCAGGGACGCAGCACACCCCCCCCTAGGATCGTGATGTTGGCGAAAGTCATGAACAGGGTTCGTGACCTGCGTCACTTGGGACTGATCATCAGTCACTGCTGCATAGCGGAAATCCAGGCCTAACTGGCCCTTCTTCTTCCCTTGGATAATGCTGACTGTCGCAGAGAAAGACTGATTCACGATCGAGCGAACCTTACCCCCCGACACGTTGAAAGGACATACCCCCCGTCCAAATCACGGCCCATCCAGCGAGCGAGTCCTCCGGAACGAAGAACGAATCTCATACTGCACAGAATTTTCCATAATACCATTAAATTGCTATGGAGTTGCGAGTCTACTCAGCAAAACGGTGGAGTTGGGAGGCACTCTCAGACTACAGGTCGGTAATCTTCTGCGGATGAAACCGTCATACAACGCTCCTTTGGAGGATGAGACACCATGACTGGTGGGAATATATAAATGGTTATTAAGCTTGGAAATACTTGTGCGGTTTGCAAGCAACGGGATCTAAAAGGTCAAGGAAATGACCGTTGAGATTTGCCTGTCGGCGTCACGCCGAGTATTTGTCCTTCAGTGAGTCAGTTCCGCTTTTTATCTTCGGTCATTCATAAACTGTCCGGCTGAAACTGATATATCCAGTCACAGGATGTGTCATGCGATCCTTGTCGCCTTGCAACGCGAGCCGCTCGCAATACTCCATCTCGACACGACGAGAGTGCAATCCTTGTCTACCCTTAACTCGGCTCCGACCGTCCCAAGCACATCACCCTGATACAAACCCCCTTCTCCCGTCCATCCAAAACGCCAAAAGATCACATTTGGGCTGATAATGCATTGCGGGATGGATTTTCGATGGCCACTTTGATGGCTCGCGGTCTTGCGACCTCGCGACACAGTGTTGCAGCACCTTATCCTTTCAGTTGGCCGGAGCTGCACGTGTGGAACTTGACTGATATCTGTCAATTCTCTATTCCAGTTTAACCAGCCAGAGGGACCACGTGCCGCCGTGGCGACAAAATGGGGGCGTTTGAGCGTTGATCCCCAGAAGATCCAGACCAATACCGTATTCCATCAAACGCCATGATCTTTCCTTAACAAATCTGGTGCGTTGAATGTGACCACGTTATGACAGCAGATACGCGGTGGTATTTGGGTGAGTGTTGTCTAAAACAAGCTGGGCCGCCACTGAGTTACATCATCAGTCATTGCTTTGAACCTTCATTATCAACGCCTAACCACAACAGGACAACCACTTACCGGGGCCCAATAATCGTTGCAACAAGTCTCTTTGGTTTTTCCAGGTTGCTATCCTCCGTGGTTTCGAGGCTACTGGGTGGCGGTCGTCGCGTTATTCCATCTGTCTTCCCTCGCCGCGTGAATTTGTATCGAGATGAACATGGGCACCGCTCAACCTATACTTAACAGGGTGGATCTTCTTGACGGGGCATAGTGAACCGGCATCCAAGCTACTTGTCCAGTCAAAGTTATTCGTTGAGTCAATGTTATTTGTCGAGGTTCCAAGGGGGCGGGTTCGCGGCGCTCCGGTCAGCATAGGGACAACTGGAGTAGGTGCGACCGAGCTCCATAGAACTTCGGTAGTCTCGCTGGGATGGAGCTAGGAGGACGCAATGATAGTCAGCTTGGTCAGAAATCCATTCTGGTCACCAGTATGGCAAAATGAAGCGACGTTGCTTCTCGGAAGACGGGTAGCATTGCAAAGTCGACGAATGCTCCGGGCACTGGTCCGGAGAAAAAGTCCGCACTCAGCCATCCGCATGCTAGCAAAATTTGGTCTGCGCGTGTTTCTCTCCGGTTCTCAGCTGTGGCAGACCACGCGTTTCCAGAGCCTCAACCTCTCACATTTCCAAGGCTCCTTAAGGCAGTGGTTTGGGTGATGATGGTGACTCCAGCCGTTATCCCGGGCGTACTGACTATAACCTCTATTCTTGTTGGCCCATCGCGAAGCGCGGAGACTCCGAACTATACGGCACTCGCCTAAGTATTTCAGAGCTTTCACTTTGTCATGTTGTTCCAGAATTGAGCTGCTTGGCTTCCTTAATGCCAATGACGGAAACCACCGACTAACAAACCAAGTTGCTAGCACTACACTTGCTTTCTGAAATGATGTTCCACCAGAGCTGCCGCTGCAGATATTTCCACTTTATTTTGCCTATCCTACGTCCAATCTCTCCTTTCCCAGCACCTCCGTGGCAATATTCCCCTCATTCGACGCTGCAATCTGCCCTCGGAACCTTCGTTTGTCAGACCCAGATCCAGCTTTTCTCCAAAATATTGGTTTATGGGCTGCGTACGAAGTCCTTTCATGGTAAAATATCTATCAATAAATCTATACAGGAGTCAAGGAATATGTTCTACAGAGGGCTCTCAGCCAAGGATCAAGTGTATCTGTAAGGCTGTTGAAGATAAGATTTTGGCGAATATTCGCCGATAAGGTAAATATCGGCAGTGTTCTTTAAATAATTCACGTCTCGAATCTCTACCCAACCTACTATTTCTTACATTCCAACCATCAAGGGTCATAAATGCATCCCGGCTGAGTGGTTTTACCGTCAGCCGCCCTAAATCCCCTCTTTCTCCGTGCAACTCCGGGTTTCAATCGCTACACTGATCATACATATCTCTTACATTGAAATGGGGTATTTTCAATCGCAGTCTGACATAGGCGACAGGTGCAGAGATCACCAAACACACCATCAAGTTCCCCATTCACGTAGTAGATGGAAGATCCAGAGGCTAGTGTAGTCAAACAATAATTGGCACCCAGCCCAAACGAATGGTTTCATTGTCCGTCGGGGGGTTGCTCGAGTCATTGGGATCATCGAATGTGGCGTTCGTTGTTTCATCAATTCAACCAGTCACACCCTTCCAGGATTCTCGTTAGTATAGTATCACTCGTAGATATAGCTCCAGAAAAAGAGACTAGAATAATTATATATTTCATCAAAGCTACTCTTAAGGGAACATAACTACCTATGCGTGCCACTATATAGTACCGGTCCAAGGAACTAGAAATCTTACCCTTCAGTGGTCTTTTTAGCTCAGGTGTAAGTTGCGCGCCACCTGGGTATATAAAATGGAGACGCTGTCATTCAACAAATGGACATGTTTCTGAAACAAATATCTCTTCAAATCGGAATATGCATGAGCTAATCATCAGATAAGCGGACTCTGATCCCTTCTTTTTCGGAAAAGCCAACTTCGGGCGCACCGACTAGGGGCCGGGAACTTTGGTAGAACTCTAATGCCTCGATTTCCTGCACCTTCACTGTCTTCTCTGATTCTCAGTAGCCTAGCATCAACCACACTTGTCCTGACCGCCCCATCCCATCGATGTAGAGACATCCTCGCACACGCGTTCTTTCAAAAATGGAGACGTCAATTGCACGGCTACTGACCCTTCCATAGTTTGGAGCCGTCAAGGATTGTGATGGCTTCAGTAGGTAGCTGAATAGACCCGCGTTGGGAAAGCGATTGAATGGCGTAGATGGTTTCAGCCATTGGCTTGGACTTCTGGCCCAGGGCTATCCCAAATCGACAGAATTCAATAAAAGCGTGCCTCACTGTATTACTACTCTCCAGGTGGTGCACCAAGGTGTAGAAGACTGCCTGAACGATATCAATCACTTGGCTAGGAATGAGCCAGATTCCATAGGACTGACGATGGATACGAAGGCACTGGGCTATCTCCTCGGCTTGGGCACACCATTTTTGCTGCAACTGAGCAATCATCGATCCTTGTTGGTCACGCTCGATCAACATTTCGACTAAGTGCATCATCGCGTGGAGGCCTTTGACACTTTGTTCAAAGTCAGCTCGGATACATTAGAAACGGGTCAGAAAATTGCTCACCGTAGGATCAGAAGCTGAGGAATTAGCTCTTTTCGAATCTGCGATGCATCTCGCCGATCCGCCAACCACTGTTGCAAACGGTTGTATGGGTCCTCTACCCTCACAGACAATGCAGTGAAGCTCATACTTAGCTCCTCGTCGTCTAGGAGCTCTTCAACGTGTAACATGATATCAGTCATCTCGGCAAGGCCTTGTCGGATTTGAGGTAGATGAGCTCGCTTGGCGGCATACATGATCTGGTTCGATCGTGGATAAGGCATCCAGTCAAAGTCATGGTCACCCGCAACGTCTATCCTGGATGCAGGCTTTGACAATGTTGCTACCTTCTGCAACTTCATTGACATTTGTCTGTAAGATTGATCAGTGCTCGCTCTCTTCTCTGCTTTGGCACGACCACTCACTGATTCAAACTGAAGATCCCCCAGGCCGTGATCGCCCGAGCACGTTCCATATCAGAAGTCATATTCTCTCCACATCGATGCTTAGCTCTTGGCAGCATAAACAACCCAATGTCATGTGCCAGTTGTATGGCCTGTTGCAGCATCAACCAGCTGAGATTCGCCTTTCCTTGATATGACAATCTGCAATAATGTTAGCATAACCACGACCGATACGTGTCTCCTAAAGGGCCCCATACACACAACACATCATGACAAGGGCTTGGATGCTTGATAATGCTGAACGCCCCTCTTGAGCTTTCCACAACCTTTCGGCTTCGGAGAAGAAATTTTGTCCACGAGAGAAGGCATTTCCTGGATTAGAAAATACCCCTCGATGGTCAGAATAGACCTGTTGGGCATTAGAAAAAACTCTAAGAATGGGTAGAATAAGAACTGGAACCGCATACGCTTGCCATTGAAAGGAGACTGTTTACTAGGAGCGGCGAACAAAACTCCGAATCCAGGTCCCCCCGTCTCATGTGCTCGAGGAAAATACCTTGATCAACAAATTGTGCACACGGATGATCCCACGTGAAGTACAGGGAGACCAGGTGCGACACAAGATCATTGTCATCAGTGGCCTCCGTCCACGGTTTTGCCGGCACCCTGTACGGCGGGATATCATAAAGACTTTCCAGAGATATTCGTGCGTATGGATTTAATATGGCCCGTGGATATTCTATGTGACCATCATATTCTGGAGATGGGGGCACTAAATTGAGTTCTGAAGAGAGTCGGGATTTTGTCACGAACTGCTCACTTAATGGTGACCCAAGCCGATGGCTCCCATCCCTTGGCATCGTTGAATTACTGGTAGATGAGGTTTTCGAATCGGGAAAGTTTGTCACGAACTGCTCACTTAATGGTGACCCAAGCCGATGGCTCCCATCCCTTGGCATCGTTGAATTACTGGTAGATGAGGTTTTCGAATCGGGAAAGTTTGTCACGGGACTGCTCACGGCATGAGCTATGTCCTTCATCGGTACATTGTTTCTGATTATCGCAGTGACCTCGCTGAGCTGGTCTGCATTTGCCAGCCGGATTGTCGACAACAATGAATCGAACAGGTCTTTGTAATCGGATAACTCTTGTATTGTCCGCTTCACGGCTACTTTCCGTCTTAGATCGCGGCTTGGATGGAACTGACATTCTTCTTCGGAGCCAGCGTTTAAACAAGCTTTACACGGGGATGGAAGTCCTGAGCACTATATCTAACAGACAACGATTAGCCATTGATCCGAGTACCATATTTGATACCCTCAAGAGTAAACCACACAGCTTGTATTTGGTCACAGGACACTTGCCTTCCTCTTTGCTGCTTTGCAAGCTAGACAGGCCGTGGAATTTTTCTTTGGCCGGCGGGTGGCCATCGATGATTGTGCAGAGAATACGGGCATCGGACCGGGGGCCAATTGAGGGAGCAGCTTGGAACTGTCACAATGGCTCGTATTTAGGCCCAGCGAGTGACTTGTCTCGTGGGTCAATGGTTTCTGCGCCATTGTATCTAACCCAGCTAATCGAGAATCAACATCATTTGACCCCATATGGTGATGGAGCCTGCAAGACGACAGTCAGTCTAGTGTACCGGTCGTCTTCGAAGACGCAAAGGAGCGAGACATGCTGACAGCGGACAGCACCGCATGGCACATACAGATCGAATTCAAAATTCCAGGAACTTGCAAGGGGGCGAGGGTCATCTCATCGGTTTATTAATCATCGAGGTGCGCTTACTGGATTTTTCTTGAAGCGGGACTCGGGAAAGTAACTGGTCTGAGAGCTAGTCGAGACGATCAAAGGTGGCATGCAGATGATAATAAGCAAAAAATCTAGGGGCTCATCCTTCAGCAAACACAAGGGAGGTTTTACAGCTTTCACACAACCGGTGGCTCGGTGGCCCAGGACTGAACGTCACAATGATTAGAGAACGACGATCCAGTAGCCTGTCAATCTCGCCCCGTTGACGGTATAGAGCAAAGAGTGCTGGCGGGGTAGGTGGTGCTTCAGCACGAGACTTGCGTCACGCAGCCGAAAACATTCCCGAAGCTGTGAGACGTACCCGCTATGTTGAAGTGGAGGTTCCAAAAACTAGCGGCACTCGACAAGGATCTCGGAAACAAGACCCACCAAATGAAAGGATGAGGTCTCGTTTAGGCCTTGGGATGATGGCCACAGTACCCACCCGGAACTCAAGGCCCCAGACTCGAGGGAAAGGTTGATGTCCTATCGCTCTACCCTGGACCCACCCCTAACGATGATCATTCCTCCGTCCTCTCGCAGGGCAGCACAGGGCACTCGAAATCTCTATTTTACAGTATCCTTCCTTTGCCTGATTTGGCATATGCATGTTTGACTTTCAGTATGAGACCTGGTCGCGCAACAAGGCTGTAGGATCTACTGCAACGCCATCTACTTGCCATTTAACCCATCCATTCCCAGACTCTCGTCAAAAAATGGCCGATCAATTTGACCGCTCGATGCACCCTAAAGTGTAGCCTCCACACGTGTGCGTCACCGTGCCACGGTTATGATGAACTGTTCGTGGCGATTCGACCAGATGCATCGCCGAGTTTGATGGATCTGCTAGCGATTGACACTGGTCGCCTGCTCTTAAATTACTCGACTCCACCCCTGACATCAGGCTATCAAAAGTCAAAAGTACAATATTTTGGAAGTTTCAACGTAGCTGCAAGCTTGAAGCTGCTACTTGAATCATTAAAACCAGATCTGGCCCCGGGAAAGTTTTCCACCGCACAAGGTAGGTTACGAAATTTCCCATCAACCAGGTTGATGGGAACGACCACAAGTTGGCGCTCTGCTTTACGAAGTAGTACACGTGATACACGGCATGTACCGGGGAGAAACCGTACTCCGGGGGGTGATGCGGCATGGCAGTTTTGGTCAGTACATGGCGCCTCTATTAGGCGACAGTACGGGAGGATTTTCCTTTACGGAATCAGACCAGATCTACATCTCCGCAGCCTGTAAAGGTCTGCAATATCTGCCCCAGCAAGGATCGAACTCTCTTTCGGCGGTGGGCACTTTCCATCAATCCACTGTCGATTGGGTGGTCCACATCCGTCCAATCGGATGCGGCGTTCCGTTGATTTTTTGTCTTGGCACTTTTCTTATGCTAGCGCGCTCTACCTTGAGCAGAGCGGTAGCCCGGTAAGGGGCCGTCTTTCTATGTGTAGCAGATCCATCGTTGCTGGTCGCCGTCGGCTTCTAACTTCCATCTATGTAAGCACAAAACGAATTATAATCTGGGTTCAGTCCTATCTTAGAATCTCTTGAGTCATATTGGGACTACATTCCTTGCGAACTTGATCACTAGCAATAGATAGCAGCCTATCAGTATAAATGAGGATGACTTCCAGAGGCGAATTAACTGATACTTCGAAATTCCATGACAGCGGAATGGCACGCACGATTGGCCGGCTTTTTCCCCGGATTTTATAAAAGGCTACCTGGCAAATAAGCAGATAAAGCAGACACGGACCCGCTTGTTCTGATCGGGAGAAGATACCAAGGTTGTTGGCCGAACATCGGCTTGAGAAAATAAACAAAGGGCTTTGTGAAGGTTTCGAAATGTTCCACCGTCCATCAGTCGTCTTCTTCTTTCTCTTCGGGTCTTTCCATGGGGTTTCACTCGTGGTCGATTCTGGAAGATAAGGTGGCCAAGATACAACAAATCAATAAACTCATTCCTTGTAAGGGTGACCCTTCTATCCTTCTCCCACTCTCATGAGCCTCCGAATCTGCATCTCCCACCTCGGTTTAATTTCCATCATCCCTTTTGATTCATTATTCTCATTGTTCCTAAGTGCTGACCTCTTCGTCATGAAAGTATGTGCAAGTGTTCGACCCGGAAAGCCATATCGTCCACAAACCAGTCTCGCATAAACTTCTCAAGACCAGCTCTGTGATAATCCGAATTGATTGATCCCTCTAGCATCACCACAGCCAGTGAATCAGTACCCAACACCTAGACATGTCGGCTCAATTCGCTGCTAGCGATCCTGGCAGCAAAGAAGGCTTAGCCGGAGACAAACTCAGACGACAAGCCTCGCTGGCAGCACCAAGGTAAGCAGCCCCAATCTTCCATCCTGTATATAGTTTGCTTCTTTTTATCCCTTTTGACCACCTCCTTGGCCTCGTATGATGCGAGGGACCTTTTTCCCCCTGAATTAAAGGCTGAACCGGACCTGGATTTAAAAACAGCTTCGGAGCAACCGCAGCAGATGACCAGATTGTCCCCTCTGAACGTATAGAGACAGAGTTTCAGAACCACCATTCCCTTCTCATCCAGTTGCTAAGGATGATCTCGCATGGCGAAGACAAGGATGTGTCCCGCATTTTTTCCGTCATCCGCTCGGGCGCATCCCATCGCCAGATCTTTGACTTTATCAAACAACAACCCGACAACCGAACGAGATGAAATAGGCCATTTATGTCTTAAGTTATGCTCTTCCCTGGGTCTATAAGAGACCATTCTGATGAGGAAGGGGGAGTTGGGGGGCGGGAGATCAAGATCAAGTGACCTTGTAGCAATCGTGGGAGCGAGATACCGCATGAGTATCATGTCAATGAGGAGCTGTCTTCGTAGCCCAAGTTTTATGTTTAATAAAGCTAATCTAAGCTTTGTTTCTTTCTTGTGTGTATCAAAAGGTGGTTTCGGTGGTTTCTGATCATCTCTCTAGTATTGAGTGGAATTCCCGGATCAAAATCAGCTCCGCCTCGGTGTATGGTATGTAAGTCGTCCTGTCTCGCGTTCCTTTCCGAGCAAAATGCCTATAAAAAAATGCCGCTCTTAAAAGCAATACCACTATCCAAAGGATAACCCCCGTCCCGACGACATGAAATGCCCTGTGTGATGAAACGCCGACCGGGTACCTGCACATTCGAGCACCGTCACTGCCAATCCACGCATTGAATAGTGACTGAGAGTAAGAGAAGCAATAATAATTTGATTTCTTATTCGATACCTCTTTTCAAATAAAGACTACAAAATGTTAGAGTGGTGGATTACAGGACAACACGTACTACTAGAAAATCCGCTGTTTACTGCTATGACGCCGAGATCATCTGAGATAATAATAGCAGCAACTATCTCCAGCGCTAGGCGATATTGTCAGTATTAATGGTGTTATCGATTGAATACATTGAACAAGACTAGTGGACGGACCAATGATAATGTTTAGACGTATTAGAATTTTATGGATGTTTAGTTGTATCGATTAGCGAAAGCATAAAAGAGAGAAATAGCTTATTTATTCTAAACTCTGCTATCCTTGTCCTACTTCGCTCTCGCCCCCGACGATGTATCCCAAGTCTCAAGGGCATAGAAAGCGGCCACTACCGCAAGAGGAGTCATAAGAAACCCCACCCAAGTCATTATGGAATAAAAGGTACTACCCCAGTGCAAGCACTCCAAAATCCCAATAATGAGCATTACCGGCCCACAAAAGGCCGCGAGGGATAGGCTTCGATTGACCTGCACATCTGAGCGAACGCAAGCCGCTCGGATGACGAAGAAGACGGCAGCAACGCATGCAATAGAAGAAGTCCAAAAGCTGATCATGCCTAAGGTAGAGGCCCGCCACTCGACTTGGAAATCTTCGGTAACGGTTCGATACAGATACCGACCCGCTGGCTCCCCAAATATATCAATGAAATTGGTCATATTTGCCTGACGCAGGTCGTGTCCTTGGCCTAGCTGCCATAGATCGGAGATAGATTTCGCGGATTGGGAGGAGGCATCGTGTTTGTAAATAAGGAGATCGGCCAAATAAGCCCTGACTTGATTGGGCCCGGCGCCCCATAATGGAAGTTGAGCCATGAAGGAGGTGGATGATCTGTTCCGTGAGTGAGCTTGGGCAATGGCGTCTGGCTCGAAGTGCTTGGCAATTTGACAATCACTACTCTGCGTTGGAAGGATGGAAGTGATTATCTTATGTACATGAAGAGGCTGGGAAGGAGGTAGCTATTAATAAAAGCTGTGTGTGGCTTAGACTAGTTGTGGGATCCTGTAGGCGGTGTATGATCGGACACGCATTACCCAACTTGTAATGCTCGTATGTGGTCAAAATCACAAGATAGAAGAAGTCTGAGATTCTGAGTATGATCTAGCTATCCATTTTATAATACAAAACATATAGTAAGCAAAATCAACGCACAATGCCAAGAATATCAAAAAACAAAAGCAGTTTAGTGCTGTACAAAACTTTTATTCATGGATTCACCATGCTGGCATCCCGACACTAGTTTCTAAAGGTGCAGGGATTCAGTAATTAGTGGACTGTCCATCAACTACGGCTCGTTTTCATTGCGATGAGCATGACGAATGGTTTGCTGAACTTAGCACTAGTTTTAAACAATATTAATTACTCCTTACATAATTGTAACTCGGAAATGGCTAGCTAGCTAATTAGTAATATAAAAAATCAATATAGATATTGTAATGGGGATTTCCGCTCTCAACATCGTAGGCCTCGCCAAAACCCGCCCACCGCCCAAACCCACCCGCGAAAACCCAGCCCATGGGCCGTGTTAAAATTATTATTATTATTATTATTAATTATTTAACGTCGCCGGCAGGTCACTTGGCAGGTGACCCGCTACCTCCCGAGGGGTAACTGGACGTGCTACTTAAGCGAGGATTTACTACAACTAGCTAACTAGCTCAACTAAATACACGCTGGAAAGCAGCAAATTTGAGCACTACGTGCTGGGAAAGGAATCGAAGAAGCGCCAGGCACTATCCTGGCCTGGGTTCCTGGGGGTGGAGTACCCGGTCTGACTACCCACGGATGGGAGAGGGTGCCAGCCTCTCCCGTCTACGCAGAGGTGAAGACTGTTGCGCTATGCGGCGCATGTTTGTGCCCAATTTGGGCAGATGTCCTTAAAGAAGGACGTTTCTTGCACGAAACGGCCGAATTCCTCGGCCCCAGCAGCTGTGCTCAGTATCCAGTCTATCATTGCAGATGGGCTGGCCTTTGGGCCTTTCCATCGATCCTTCCAGCGTTTCCTCGCAGGCGGGCAGAAGAAGAAGTGGACGGGGGATTTTGGCTTACCGCAGGAGCAGGTCGTAAGGGAGTCCCTGTGATGGAACCTCTCGTGGTATGCCTGGAAGTCACCATGGCCGGTCCGTGCGGCTAGCAGCCGGCCGAGCACCCCGCGGGGAAGCCTGTGTTCCCGAGCGCGGCTGCTCTTGGTGTGGGGTTGAATATTTAGGTCTTGGTATGCCTGAGGTGCGTCCCTGGTATACGCAGCACGCGTTGCCGCGCGGGTATGTTGTTTCGCTACGCGCATAAGGTAAGATGGGGAAGGGGGAATGTGGGAGCCGTCTAACGCTGCGCCCCTCTTTGCTAGCTCATCGGCAGTCTCGTTCCCTGCTATCCCGGAGTGGCCTGGCATCCAGCGCACCTCCACGGGCGTGCGGGGTGTGCTGAGGATATAGGCAGCGGATTTCCACTGGGTAGTGAGCTTTTGGAATAATTCTGTGAGTTTTCGTCTGTGTGGTGCAGGTCTCCCGTCCGCGAGTAGGCTAGCGACAGCGAGGTTATCGAGGAGGATAACAAGGCCTGTGGAGTAGCTTGCGCAGGGTAGGTTGACAGCCGCCTGGAGGCCCTCTACTGCGCCCATAATCTCGGCGTCGTACACCTCTGTCTGGGAGCCAGCTGACCCATACCCTTGGGTGATAGGGATAGAGCCGTAGTAGACCACGAACCCGTACCCAGCCCCTTGGCTAGTGCGTGAGCCGTCCGAGTAGACCGTTAACCGTAGCGGTGCTGGTGCGTATACGGCCTTGTTTGTGTCCGTAGTAGGTAGTATGCGGAGCGGTGGAAGACGTGACTTTACACGTGCTCTCTCCGGTGCCGGCGTTGGGACGCGTTGGAGGATTCTGGTGAGTCTCGTCCTTCTAGTATCGTATGCATTGATGGTAACTCTCGCGATCGGGTGTCTAGCGTCTAGGCTCGCGTATCGGACTGCTGCCCTTTGGAGGACGCCGTCGAGGAGGGCTTCCGGGTAGGGTAGGTCTGCCTCGCGGAGTAGCGCTGAGGTAGGGGTTGTTCTGTAAGCTGGAAGGATGGCTAGAGCAGCGAGCCGGAGTAGGGAGCGTAGGGAGTCGATGAGGCCCTTCTGCCCTTGGCCGGTGTAGAACACCTCCGCGCCGTATAACGCTGTCGGTATCACGCACTGAATGACCGCTGCTCGCATAGAGGCAACCGGGCATCCTCGCTGGGTGTTGCTGAGCTTCCGCAGATGTAGTGCGAGCCGCTTGCCCCGGCTGAAGACCCAGTTGATGTGTGGTCGGAAGGTGAGCTTGCTGTCCAGTAGGACGCCTAACCAACGGGTATATGGGGATGGCTTAATCTCGCCTACCCCTGGTAGAGTGACCGTAGGCGCGGACAGCTTCCGCTGCTTCGAGAAATGTTGGATCTCGGTCTTCTCTAGGGAGAATGGGAGGCCTGATGCTGCTCCAGATAGAGTGATCGTTTTGTATACTTCTACTAGCTGCTGGGATGTCTCCTCAAGGGAGTCCCCGACGAACAGTAGCCCTAGGTCATCCGCGTAGCAGAAGGAGTTATCTTGTGAGGAGACTATCTTCGCCGCATATAGGAGGAAGAGGACTGGGGACAGCGGGGACCCCTGTGGGAGGCCTCCTCTTATCTTTGCGGTGGCGGTAGCGTCTCCGACCTGGACCGAAACGGAGCGGTCGGATAGCCAGTCGCGTATCCAAGAGGTAAGGCCCTCGTCCCATCCCTGAAGGCGTAGGTGTGATAGGAGCCGCTGGTGATCAACCGCGTCAAAGGCCCCTTTCACGTCCAGTAGTAGTAAAGAGGCCACCTTCTTCTGCTGGAAGGCTCTCTCCACGCTATGGGTAAGGATCTGGACTAGGTCTACGGCTGAGCGGCCGGGTAGGGCGCCGAAGTGGCACGACGTTAGTAGTTGTGCTTGAATGGTCTGAACCGTGAGTCGCCGCGCGATGAAGCGTTCTAGGCCTTTACCTAGGGTGGAGAGTAAGCTAATGGGTCGCCAGGACTTTGGCTGGGTGAGGTCCCTCTTCCCCGGCTTTGGTAGCATAACGACCTTTGCAGATTTGAAGGTCTGCGGGAAGTGCCCTTCTGTTAGGCTGCGGCGGAAGAGTGATGTGACTAGGTCGCCGACGACCGGCCAGAGTTCCCTCCAGACTGTTGTGGCAAGTCCGTCCTCTCCAGGGGCAGACGGGGTGGGCGCGCAGAGGGCGGCATAGCAGTCCTCCTTCGTTGGTAATCCTACTGGATCTTGGGGCTGATTCGGGGGCCCCTCCTCCTGCTGGTGCGGGAGGGAGGTTCCCTTCTCTAGGAGGTGAGTGAGGAAGGTGTCCGCCTTGCCCTGTGGCGTCGTGATCCGGTCGTTCCGGATATATAGAGGGGGAGCGGAGAGCTGGTCTGCGCGCCTGTGCAATCTGGCGAGTGCGAAGGCGTCTGTGGGTAAAGTGGCCTGCTCGATCCGCTCCTTCCAGTAGCTGGCCTTCGCGCGGGAAACCGCTCTCCGAAGTGGCAGGTAGTCGGGCGCTTGCTGCTGCCGTGTTTGTCGTAGTAGGTCTGTGAGCTCTGGTGTCCACCAAGGGGTACGTGGGAGTCTGCGGGTGTTATATTTAGAAGCGCCTTGGATGGCTTCTTGCACGGTGTTGACTAGTTTTTCCGCTATGTCGTCGACAGGAAGGTCCTTATGCGGCAGGTTGAGTAATGCCTTAGCCTTCTCCCAGTCGGTAGAGCCCAGCTTCCGACGGGGTGGGGGTTCCTGCCAGTCTATTGTTATTAGTATAGTTGCGTGGTCGCTCGTGGAAGAGAGGTGGTCTTCTGCTGTAGCTTCAACGGGGATGTCCGAGAAGACGAGGTCTATGGTGTTTGGCCCGCGGGTAGGGGTGCCGGGCTCGATGCAAAGGGCTAGTCCGTTGGCCTCCAGCCACTCTATAAGCGCTGTTGCTCCTGGTGTAGTGTTGTGAGCCTCCGTCTCCGGCTGCCAGAGTGGGTGGTGAGTGTTGAAGTCCCCGGCTAAGATGGTGTTCTGCGGAGGGGAGTACTGTAAGAGCGTGTGGAGGGTAGATGGTGTTGAGCTAGATGTGTTTGGGACCACTAGATCCTTTGGGGGGCGGTAGGTGTTGATTATTGTGAGTCCGGATATGCAGACGGCTGCGATATCGGGTGAATCGGGGTGTGGGAGGGGGAACGCGGGGAGGTCCCTGCGTACGTATGTCAGAGCTCTAGGCCTAGCTTCCCAGCGGGTGGTAGGGCCAAACAGCTGGTAGCGTGGGTGCGTCTTCGTGAGTTGCCTCGTCATATCAGTCCAGGGCTCCTGGACTAGGATGACGTCTGCTTCGTACGATAGAAGTAGGTCGTGGGCAGGGCCGCCCCTCCCGACATTGGCCTGTAGTATTCTCATAGATCTGCATTGGGGGGAGAGTTGGTTCGCGAGCTCCTGGGAGAGTTGGCTTGACGGTTGATAGTGACGAACCGGGTTAGTCGCTCGTGGGTCAGGGGTGTGTCTAACTTGTTGTTGCTGGAAGGCGGTCCGGCCGGCCTTGCGAACGGCAGTTAAGGCGGCTTTCGAGAGGCGGACGATAACCCCTTTCTGTATGTAGGGCCTAGCGGGGCATTTTGGGTAGTCCGCAGCATGCGGTCCATGGCAGTTAATGCATTGCGCGCGGCAGGTATGTTCTGGCTTGGACGATCCGCAGGAGACGCAGCGTTCGCTAGAGCGGCAGGCCCGCGCGTCATGGAAGCTGTGGCAGCGGGTACACTGTAGCGGTCGTTGCTTTGGGCGAGTAGGCCTAGAAAGGCCGGAGGCGCCGAATAGCTGAAGTGCGTAGCGGAGCTTCCTTGGGAAAGCTATAACCGCTGTAACAGAGTCTGCTTCGATCTGGTGGTTAGAGAGCTTGGTCGTGAGCGGCTTTTGGCCGGTTACCCGCTCCGCCTCTGCACTAATATCGCTGACTGTAGTAGGCATCCAGCCACTATCGGGGGTCCAGATTCGCTGTGGGATACGGGAGACTACGACCTGGTGGTATTCCGTCGCGGCCTCGAAGTAGCCGTCCCCGGCTAGCTGTTTAGCCTGGGAAGAGAGGAGGAAGGTCATGCCTTCTTCAGATGCAGATATAGCGTAGCCTGTAGGGACAGCTTGTACTCGTGTGATTTCGCCGGGGACTTTGCATGCTAGTGTGACTCGGACGCCATGGGGTCCAATATCCCGTAAGCTAGAGGAGCTTGGGAGTCGGAGGAAGATGCGGGAGTCGGCTTCTTTCGTCTGGCGCTGCCGCTGCCGGATTCGGTCACGTTGATTCGGTGCCGTGGTTTGCCACGCTTCCTGGCCGGGCGCGGGAGTGGCTATCGAGGCCCAGGACTGGGCCCGGGGGAGCTGAGGAGCTCGCTGGGGGGGCAGTGGGTGCCGTGGGCTCGGGGAGCGGTGGAGAGCCTAGGGGGGTCTTGCTGCGGTACATCGCGGCGGGCTAGGGCGATGAACTTGGCTGCGAGTGCGCTGGCGAGCTCGCGTGGGCGGCCCTGTAGGGAGGAGATAACCGAATCAAGCGCTTCGGCGAGGGAGGTTGTTGCTAGCTTCCAGTCGCTCAGGAAGAGGAGTTGGTCGTCTGCAGCTGCGCTGACCTGCTGGCGGACGGAAAGGGCGCGCGTCGAGGCCGGAAAGGCTGCCGGCGCCGTGGCAGGCGGCTTGTTCGGTGGAGAGACTGCTCTGCGTTTCAGGGAGCTTCGAGGGAAGGGAGTAGGCGTGGCAGGGTCCGAAGGGGGTTCGGAGGACTCGAGGAGGTGCGGAGTTCCCGGTCGAGGGTCGGCCGCAGGGGGGGTCGTCGACCTCCATCTGGCGGGGCCGAGCGGTAGTAGGGATAAGTAGTGTATGAATCTCTCACTTCAATTGTATCTTAGACAGAGATGATCGTGTGTGGGCCGTGTTAAAATATCCCGGTTGCTGGGATAATAATGAGGCTGGGATCACGTGCACAAATATATACCTGACTTCTTGTATCTTAGAAGACACACTCAATACAACACACAATCAACTCCCCTCAATAATATGACCATTGAAGCATCACTACTTAATAAAACAACACGGGTAATGCAATTGAGAACCCAACCCAAACCCGCGTTTGGCGAGGTCTAACCACTGCACCACCGCTACTGGCAGTATGTACACACACACAATTTATCAACTACCGGCGGCTAAACCGAAAGGGCAACTATAACTAATCTAAGAATGGGTGTCCTATTATATGCCGTGTCTCCTCAGAGCCCACACAAGATTCCTTTCAGTATATGTCATCTCAGATGTCAATATCTTAGCGGGTCCTAGTGGGTTAGTTTTTAGTCAATAGACTTGCTTGAAGGCGCCTCTCCAAGTGTTCAACATCCTATCTTCGGCAGTTGAAGCGCGTCTACCGTCTCTGACACAAGGTGTTGGGATTAGTGGGGGACGGGGTGGTATTCTATCTGTGGCATTCTATCTGTGGCATTCTATCTGTGGCATTCTATCTGTGGCATTCTGAGATTCAGATATACCCTTGTTGCGCCTAGGCTTTGCCCCTTTTGCTTGGCCGATACAAGCCAACAAGCAGATAAAAGATTCCAACAGTGGTTGAGTAAAGCGACCCTTCTTCATAATATTAATACTCACTTGGACTTATTGAAATCTTCGACTTAGATTTCCTATCCGCACCCTTGCTGCAAGGAAAGAGCGTATCCAGATGTGTCTCATCCGCGTCACCATTTCTATGATACGCACTCGATCGAAGAGCCGCGTATAAATTGCGTTTACCGAAAAAGCCGCTGGATCAGTAAGGATGGTCCTGAAAGATGTGATGGGCAGGAGATCGAATAGATGATTTCTACTGTCGCAGCTGGTATAGGATAAATCGAGATCAACTAGTCACTATTGCATATAAAGAAATAAGGTTGTAACTACCATAAAGTGAGAAAATTCACTCAAGCACGGCGGCTAGCCGGACCCAGTTGGAGTCAATTTCACTATTATTCCTTTAGATAGCTTCCTATGTATAGCGCCATACTGAAGAGGAACTGATATGATAAATTAAACAATCTAGATACCGTAGGTCGCATGCAATAATTTGTATACCTATCGGGCTCTCGCTTACTCCTTACTTGTGTATATTTCCAGCATCAATCTCAAAGTATTGTTAGAGTCCATCGCATCCATCATTGACTCCACAATTCTCAATCCCTTTCCTGTCTTCAACTCATCCCTAACTATTATACCATCAGGCTCGGCCCACGTGCTCGCTCTCGCAGTAAAGACAGGATACGACGTATCTGATATTTTCACACCAGTAAATGCAACCAAGCCAAATTCCAATATGTCGAAGACGGAAACAGAGGCGACCCATTGAGCTGATTTTGATACAGCATCGCAGAGCTGACCGTCGCATTACGCAGGTCGAGAAGCTTATGCTAGGGAGATTTGGCATAAATAGTCTAACTACTGCAAGAGTACTCCGCACCAATCAATTTTTCCTAACCTGATTATTCTAGATGACATAACCTCGCCAAAAGTCCCTGAACGATCTCCAATCCCCACGAATAAAGATAAATATCATAATTCTGCTATCTTCAACAATGTTAATGGCGTGCATTGTATACGTTAGCAGCTTCCTGGGCGTGCTGGATTGCCTCCTGCACATCCTCCATGTTTGCCGTTCGATCATATTGGTGACCGCTGTCTGCTCCATAGTGACCGCTGTCTGCTCCATAGTGACCGCTGTCTGCTCCATAGTGACCGCTGTCTGCTCCATAGTGACCGCTGTCTGCTCCATAGTGACCGCTGTCTGCTCCATAGTGACCGCTGTCTGCTCCATAGTGACCGCTGTCTGCTCCATAGTGACCGCTGTCTGCTCCATAGTGATCGCTGTCTGTTCCATAGTGATCGCTGTCTGTTCCATAGTGATCGCTGTCTGCTCCATATTGGTCATGACCTTGGTCGTGGTAGTGGTTATGCTCGCTGATGGGCACTGGGACACTGTTGCCATTCCCTATTTCCTTGCCCTTGCCCTCGCCATTGCCATTACCATTGCCGCTGCCGACGTCGCCGCCGACGCCGCCATTGCCGATGCCGCCGCCGCCGTTGCCGACGCCGCCGCCACCGTTGTGGTTGCCGATGCCGCCGCTGATGCCACCGCTGTTGCCAATGCCGCCGCCTAAAATGGGACCTATGGGACCTATGATAGGCAGTGTAATGATTGGCCCTGTCGCCGTAGTGGTCGACGTGGTAGTGGTAGATAGGGTAGTGGTCGATGTGGAAGTGGTCGATGTGGAAGTGGTCGATGTGATGATGGCACAATTCGGAAGAGTGATTGTATTGCTGTCCAGACTCACTTGCGCATTACGTGCAAGAAGACGTCCTTGAATTACCGCGTTTGTTTGAGCCGAGATAGATGAGAGTGCCATGAGGGTTCCAACGAAAGTGCTTGTTGTCCCAAGGGTAGCAGAACTTCCCACTTGCCAGAAGACATTGCAAGGTTGGGCACCATTGATCAGCAGCACTCGGGACCCGCTGTAAGTAATGAGGGAGGAGTCGGTTTGAAAGATCCAAACCGCATTCGGGTCTCCTTGAGCGTCAAGCGTGAGAGTGCGACCGACTGTAATGGTCATTGGACCTCTACCTGGGACAGACTGATATACACCAGAAGTAAGGGTTAGACCACCAAGGTCTGTCGGTTCCAGCGTGGCAGATGGCCGGCCAGCTGCATCATTATATGCAGTCACCAGATCCAACTGTGCTTGAGCTGCGCTGGCATCGGCAATGTGGATTACTCCTGGGGGAACTACTACTCCAGGAGGGAAGTTGGTGACAGACGTTCCCGGAGAGACTCCAAGATTGCCACCACTGTCAACAATCGTTGGGCCTGTGTTTGTCACTGCTTGGCCACCAAGAACCAGATAGGCCGCAGCCGTGCCCAGGCCAACTGGTGCCAGTGCATTGCTGAAGGTAGAGAAGAGGAGAGCGGAAGTGAGGAGCTTTAGGAACATGATTTTCGGTTTCCACAAATTCAATGCAGTAAGTAAACTAGAGTTGTGATGTACATCGCAGTATGCCCCTTAAATACTTCCAGATTCTATTTTCAAGGAGGTCCTCAAATACCATGATTTTCCACATTCTATCAATATAAATACAGCAATTCCCAAGGGCCCGGTCTTTTTCAATGCCAAGGCTAGGCTGAGCTATGGCGCCTTATTTCGACCAAGGAGAATACTATAGAGTGAAATATGCCACTCTGCAAGGAGCAGGCTTCCCCTTTCTCCCTTAAAATATCGCGTTGAAAACCCATTGAATTGATGACCTTTGATGAAAGTTCACATGAGAATAAGGAAATTGAATGCAAGCCACCAGAATTTGACAGCATGATAAGATGTCAAAGCCCCGGAATAAAAACAATGGGAGGCTAAGATACGTGTTAGTCGAGACAACGCCCCTAAACAGTATTCTCGCTAGAATCACGAACTCTTGTCAGTTTGATTCGCAGACTACCGAGTCGCGTCAAAGAGAGGTCCCGCCTTACAGTCACCTCAGGAATGGGCTGTAAACACCCATTTAACAGCATAATAGAATACCGTGTTGTTCATTGGCCAAACTCTTGACAAGACCTGCTCTTCTAGGAAGGAGCCACGGGGAATAATAACGGTTAGCACGGCATTTCCCCATTCTTGCTGTCAGCCCAATGGCACCTTGCTGAGAATATTGATCCAGCTGGGCCTACGTTTCCCCACTCAAAACATGGCAGCTGTCAAGATCACGCTTAGAGTGTCGTGACGGAATTTGCCTTGCAAGGGCTAGGTATTGCACTATACCCCCTACGGTCGGAATGTGAAAAGCCTGCCCCCAATCTTCGATAGTAGGGCCCCTACCCACCTTTTCACTAAACACAACACGGCAGCTAAATTTCTTATGGTGGTACAGATCACCGGTAAAAAGGATATCTCCCCTTTTTTGCACTGACTGGCGATGGCTGAGACCCGCAAAGGGTAATTGCGTTTTCTTGGAATGCTTTTAACAAGTAGGTGTTTTGGCATGGCCTGCCATATTCAGCATCGTGAAGCGCATTGATTAAAACCTCCACCACGTGGTCAGTATTTCGAGTTTCTCAATTGCTTTATCCTACCACATCGAAAATCGCCCTGTCTACGAAATCTTCAACCCCTTTCCCATTGCGGTCCTCACAATCATACTCCCACCGCGATGGTTGACTTATACCTCCCGCAGCATTCAACTCCACTCAAAGAAGGCCGATCTCACCCGCCATGTTCAAGGTTCAAAGCCAAAGTACGACGGAAATGGATGACTTTGCGGACCATCCACCTCGTGTTTGCAGTAGCAGCAGCAGGGTGGTTAACAGTATCTTACTTTTTCTTCTGGACTGACTCTTCAACTCCGGATGCAAAGAGTACGCGGACGACTTTTGGTATGGCCAAGGACAGACTCTGGCGGATTCACCCCGCTATTGTAAGGACTGCGGAGGTATCGTGGCAGGATTCAACATCGCAAAATATGTTTGAAGAATCCATAGCGAGGTCTACCATGGAACCGCAGGCCAATGTTGAGTCTGTATCAATGAAAGATGAAGATTCACAGCCTTCTGTCCCGAAAGTCTCCAAATATCCCAACAAGGATACGGAGTCCAGGCATATATTCCCCGACGACTTCGACACCGCACTCGACTACCTCTTCTCCATAATTCCCAATGAAATATACCTCCGAGAGCTCCTGCGGCCCGTGATAGGAACGGGTGCGGAAAAGCTGCGTGAACTCGGTCTACGGACGCGCGCATATAAACAATTCTTCCAAGCTTGGGAGAAACTCCACCTCGTTACCGAAGACAATAATAGTACCTACATTCGGGACGATCTCGTCCCCTACATACGTGCCAAATTTAGCGAGCAAACCTTCCCTGAGGCGCTCCACAAATACGAATTCTATCGTCACTTCCTCGTCAAACTCTCCGCGCTATTGTTTCCGTGGACGAGCCCATACTTCGGAGATCATATGAGTCTGCACGCATCGTCGTACCACGGAGGTCGTGGCATCGTGTTTACGGCGGGCGACAACCACGTGTCCTTCCTGCTCGCTGCTATTCCCTCCCTCCGCACCCTTGGTTGCGAGCTACCTATCGAAATAATGTATCTTGGCGACAGCGACTTGAGCGAAGACTTCCGAGCCGAGCTCGAAGCTCTCCCTGGCGTGGTGACGCGTGACCTCTCCGCCATGGTCAGCGATGAGGGCTGGCGGCTCACCGGATGGGCCGGTAAGCCGTTCTCTATCCTCTTCTCGTCTTTCCGCGAGGTTATCTTCATCGACGCCGACTCACTGTTCTTCGTCAATCCTGAAGTGCTCTTCAATGACGAGGACTACATGCGCACGGGCGCCCTTTTTTTTAAAGATAGGATGATCATGCCCGAGAGCAAAAAAAGATGGCTGCAGCAGATCCTGCCAAAGCCGATTTCGAAACTGGTGCGGCAGAGCAGGATGTGGACCGGGGAGAGCGGGCATATGCAAGAGTCTGGTGTTGTAGTCGTGGATAAGTGGACACACTTTGTTGCCTTATTACTAGTATGTAGAATGAATGGGCCTGACAGGGATGGGAATAAGATAGCGGGGATTGTGGGGACCTATGATATGGTTTATGGTTTGTCTCCCATCCCCCTTTTACTCATCCCGTCTTTCTTCCTAATTCTAACAAAAGCCTAGGCGACAAAGAGACGTTCTGGATCGGTTGGGAGCTCGCCGGTGACACCTCTTATGCTTTCCACCCTGGTGCAACTGGTATAATGGGCGTAGCTCAAGACCCCGGCAACTTCAACCCAGCCAACCACCTTCCCGCCTCGGACCTCGACAAGCGCTTTACGGCTACCGCCACGAAAAGATACCGCAAACTGGCACCTGGCCATGAAGCTGACATCACCATCTGTGGCCCCCAACTCCTCCATCTGGACCGCGACAAGCGCCCTTTGTGGTTCAATGGGTGGCTGTACAAGAACAAGTATGCGGGGACTAAACAAGAATTCGGTCAGTTCGAGGTGTTTATGGAAGAACCGAAGGAAGTATTGGAACCAGGAGCGTGGCAGTTAGAGGAGAACAATATGTGTTGCTTGTCAAATGTGGCGCCACTGAATTTTACGGATGAGGAGACGGAGTGGCTGGGGAGACTGGTTAAGATGGCAAAGTTGAAAGAGAACAAGAAGTCAAGGGGCATATGATAATATCGGCTAGATATTTTTCCATTGTTCCTTTTGCTGCATATCGATTCATCAGAGATAGTCAAAGTGGACGGACCTTGCAAGCAGCGCTTGAAATGAACTATTTGCGGAAGTCATGCTTTCAATTTCGTCCCGATGAATTTCATTCGACTGTGATGAGACCACTGTGGTGCACTATCAAATAATTAGTAATATACTAGCGAGTTTCCGGAAACACCATTGCCAGTGCCAGCAGGGAACAGGCACCATATAGTGCAGTGACGAAGCGTTGACCTGAATGAGATTTGTTGGAGAATCACGCTTACCTTTCCGCATGGTTGGAAATCCTCGGCAAACTGAGGAAATGGCCATCAAAACCGCTTTGCTGAGAAATTCTTATATGCATTCACTGATAGAAGATTTTGCTTTCCCCGAGATTTTCGTTGTTGCCTCATCGCCAGCCGCCTCTCGTTCTCGCAATTCCTTCGCATTGTAAGAAATTAGATAGAAGGTGTGCATAAAATGATTATTGAGAAAACTACAGGGCATAGCAGACACATATTCTCAATTCAAGATCTTATTAGAGGCCTTTGTTTCAACGGAATAGCTTCTTCAGATGTTGAACACGGGTTTTGGGGACCGGGGTTCCATCCATGAACTTCAGTGCTTCCTGAGTATGCGGCGGATCGCGTGGTTCCCAAGTGAGACTGTATCCAAAACGCATGGACATGTCAGCCCTTGCGAATAGAGACCTCGGATAGACAAAATCGATTCAGCGTGAGGGTAATTTTCCTTTTGGCTACCAGCCAGATTATCTCGGCCATCAAGGTCCCTTTCACGAGCTTCGTAGCAATATCCAGTAGAATGAAGTTACCTTTAAGACTTAAGCCTCTAGCGTCTCGTTCTAGCATGCTTGCTTTTGTTGTGAAACTTGTCGGGCCCCATACGAGAAACTTGGCTTCTAGATGTAGATACTGATTCTGTAATCTGTTCGTGTTGTCCACGCGCCGACTTCGTTCTCTTCACAATGTCCTAATGATTATTGAAATGCATGAATTCCTCCATGAGTTCTTCCATATCAAATATAGCTTGTTCTTCACGGAGAACAGCCAGCCCGGGGAGCCTGTATTTCAATCTGGAGTTAAGTCGAAAGTCTAGCCTCAAAAGAACGCCACCACACCGTTCCGGAATGGGCTGGTCCCTGCGGAACACAAGGATTGAGATCCGTGGACTTAAATTTCATCACTCAGTAGTTGAAAATTCAGAGAACCAAATTATATACAGGATGGACGTGTATCCTATATACAATAGATTTCTGTCCTTTCAAGGTTGGTGGGCTCTCTCCTTGCTTCTATCAGCCACATTGGCTATGCGGTATGCACATTTTGAAGAGCACTTACAAATTCCATACTATGAGAAAAAGTGAGAAAGACTTTGACTGATAATTTTGACTACTGGTTGTCCTCCAGGTAATGGTCCATAGCGTGGGGTGCGAACATCAAGACGTCCGTGCTAAGGTTCTCAGATGAGTAGAGACGGCACCTGAGAGTTGCTGCCGGGCTCATGACCTGTTGTAGTTCAGAGGTATGGATTATCCATTGTTCAGAGGGAAACATTAGGCTATATATATACAACGAGAAGAACAAGTTGATTGGAAATCAACTTGGCTCTTTGTATAGATATCTCGGGATTAATTCCGATGGTTCGGCTTGGTTCTTGATCTGCACCTGCCTCATATCACAACACTTGGCAGTGGGACCAGGAAGGAGTGATTGAGTGTGCACTGGTTAAGCCGATTTCGAGAACAACTGTAGTCCGAGCTTTGTTGAAACACGATAAAATTGAACCTCACCTGGAGAACCGATGTCTGGAGTCTCGTTGGTGTTGGCAGTCAAAGGCGCACATGTTTTTGTCGTCGAGATTTTGCTGGCGGATCAAAGGGTGGTTGCGTATGAGCTACAAAAAAGTGCCGATTAGCATTGATACACGATGCGTAACGTGCACTGGAGCGTATAACAAGCATAAGAGGAATATAATCATCGATCTCGCAATACGTGGTAGTAACCAGATTCCCTTGAGAAGCTGCAGAGACGGCATTGCTCTACCATATTTTTTCAACATCGTGCATCAAAGGTAAGAACGTGCGTGGACTGTCTGTCAACTCAAAAAGGGCGGAGTCTGGCCCATGATAATTTGATAGCAGGAAATTCATCTCCTAGAGTGATATGCTCTATTTAAAATCTATGGAAACCCGCTCTGTTGTGTACGCTCAATTTTCTCCCATTCTTCCCTGATGAATCCACTCGCGGCATCCTCTTCACCAGCCAACCGGCCAGCCAAGAGACAGCGAAGACTCTCCGAGGAAAATTGCAACGACCCGAACGCAGAGGATGCTTCACCCGCCTCATGCTCTACCGCAAGGAGCAACCTCCCTACGACGCAACTTAAGCAAATCCTGGGCCCCAATAGCGACCTCGTCCTACCGGCCCTAAGGCTATTGGGTTTGTATCTATGTCTATGGGAAAGTTATGTTGTGAAATCTGCGGAAGAGTATCCGGCTTGAAGACGAGCGGCGTCAGATATGCGAGTTAAACGAATTGCTGGAAGAAGAGATTGAAGGTCTCCTCCAATGCTGCAACCGACAGGCAGTGGAGTTAGAGAGTCGAAAACGGACAGTGAAGGCATTCCATGGGAATGTCGTATCGGCCTTGCAAAACATCGACCTCCCTCACTATCACATTGATAGATATTGATTCATGCACGGAGCCATACGTCCTTTGTACGCTGAGAAATATTTATTCTTTTCGATAGTACCACTTCAGCTGGAACTTCCATAGAAATGTGATTTGCCATGTATGTGAAGCAAGGCGAAGTTCTACGACCCAATCAATCGCTGTCTTGTGATGTTTCTCAAATAGCTTCCATGACCTCAATTCTCAGCCACCTATAAGCTACTTATATCTTGTACTGTAACAATGTGATTTTGTACCAATGTATGGTTCCAATTCGCATAGAAGGTCTTCCCTCGACAAATATGAATAGCTTGGTTTTCTTCTTACAGCTCGAAGATAGGCTTAGGCAATCCTTGCAGCTCTTATGGAATTAACCGCCCATCCTATCTTTTCGGCTATCTCCAGATGTCATTAATTTATTTATGATATACTGTGACGTGCGAGGTCAAATGGATCCAACTTTGAATATCGAGAGGCGAAACATAAATTTGAACAAACACCACAATTTACTTGACTGTCTCGTAGGTACAGTGGAAGATAAATTGACCAGGATTCTATCACTGACCTCGCTCGCAGTTCATCAGTCCTGCCAGTTGACCTTCCGAGCACTGCTCCCAATCATTGAGAATACTGAGCAATCGCCCCCGAGACGCCTCCAATGCTTGATTTAGATGATCGAACTGAGATAGCTGCTCATCATGATGAGCTAGAAGCATCCCTTTTTCATTTTACAGTCGTGTATTCTCCCTTCTCAACTCCTGGTTGGTCTGACGGAGCTTCTCGCTGCCAGTATGTTTCGACATGCATGAATCCCATAGTCGTCGGTAGAGTCCCAAGATTCGAGCTGCTTGAAAGGCGAGCTTTGGGTCATCCCGTTCAAGCTCTGCAAGAAGCTGTAGTATCGGCTGGAAGGGTTCTGCTGCTGGAGTTTGTTATTCATCGGCTGGCGGCTGGGAGACCGGCTGCGTTGATTAGCATCATGCACGACATTAGAGGTTAATATAGTTCTTACCTGAGTAGGAGTCTCTTCAGCTGTCAATTCCGGGTTCAGTCGCTCATCTGGGCCTGAAGTTGGATCGGAATCGGTCTTTCCGTCCCCTTGTAGGTCGTGGCACACAGCAAAAGGATCCATTTCTCTGTTCAAAGTAATATATTTGAGAATCTGGATATATGTAGTATGAACAGCTTAAGCTCCATTTGATCTAATTTATAGCCACGAAGACCGATAAAGCCAGCAGATTCGTTTTTCATAATGATCAACACTTGATGATGTTATTAAACCAATTGTTTATTAGCAAGGAATATGCGGTCGACAAATAACTCAGTTTGAAACAAGTGAAGCAACGTTAACTTGGTAGTTACTGACAAAAAATGAAGAAATTCGCGCAAGAGAAAAGTTTAAAAGTGACAGTCGGAATAAGCTTTGGTTGTCTCAGCGTGGAACCATCACCGACACTTCAGCCGTTGAAACAGTGATAAATGAGATGTCACTCAAACATGTTTTTGCATTTTTGCTATACCTGTAAATTGAACCAACGGGACGTTGTCAAAAGTCTTCCGGGAAAGAAATAGGAAAATGTCCCTACTTCCGCCGATTTGCATATCGACGTTTTCTTTTGTATATCTGCTCGCCGTTTGTATCAAGCTACTGGCGGCCTCAGTCTATCACACACTCAGAGTTTTGCCGCCCAAATCTCTCCCGTCGCAGATTGTCCTTTGGATTATGCAATCGCCACTGTCGTGTTTCGCTTTCTTCTACTCTGTACAAAGCAGCCATCAGTCACAACGCGATACCCCTTACGTGCAATTCCCGAACGATTGTTTCCAAATGAATTCGCATTTTTTGAGTCAAAGATCTCTCATGAACGAGTCGAACGACCAATGGCCCTTGATTCTCGAAAATTGCTTCACAACACGTCCTATCTGTGTGCCCTTTCCACAACCGTCGCTTGGGATGTTTAATTCAGGAGATACCATGCGGCAGATTCATCGAAATTATCTCTTCGGTTGCGGCTTTCAACGACCAGGACACGTTCCCTGTCATTTATTGGCTTGAACATACGCCGCATTCGTATCCTTTCGGCCCCTCGCCGCCATTCTCCAAGCCTAATGCCTGTCAGGCAAAGATGGCCCCTACCTGCAACCCCCGTTCTATGCGACTTGACAGCAATGAAGTGCTTTCAATGAGCCCAGTTTCTCTAGGGCCTACAAACGCGGCGTCTCTGTCTTCCTCTCCGGTACCTTCGGACGGGAGCTTCCGGAAATTGCCACACAAAATACTCCAGCGACAGTTCAAGTGTACATACCTGGGCTGTGACCGCCAATTCAGGCGCCGAACGGCCTTCGAGAGACATCTGACCTGCCACTCAGATGAAAGACCGTACGTATGCTGGGTGCTAGAATGTCATCGTAGCTTCAAACGCTCGGACAATTTGAAAGCTCACTACCCGACTCATGCCAAAATGGGCGGTCGCAACCGCTATGTAGCAACCTTGGACAATACGAGTCCTGCCTACGACCCTAAGTTTCGCGGTCGATTGACATTGGAGGGCTGGCCGGCTTTTTCTAATATCGAGAAGATTCAAGTTTCGAGAACATGATGTTCATGTTCCGCAATGACCACCCCTTCTGTTTCATGGCTTGCGTCTGAGGTCCCGGCCGCTTTAAAGTATGAAATATTTCCCCCAAGATGTGAGATGAATTTGCTTTTGCCTCCAAAATGATTTTCCTCGCCTGCCGCCGGTTGCAAATAAATAATGTATAGCCGGATTTTAATGTAATTCGCGTGTGATGCATGTAGTGAATATTGATATACTAGCCATGCTATCAATCCCGCGGTTTCTAGAACCCTTCTCTGGAACCATGAACCCCCAAAGAAGTTGCCCATCCCGATAAATGTAGTGGCAAGGAATAAATGATCGACCTATCGCCCGGGAATTATAGTAAAAGCAGACAACAGCATTACATTAGACACCAATCAACCAGTTTGTGCTTTGAAACTCTGGCTCCCTTTTGTCAGATACATTGGGTTGAATATTCGTGTTATCTCAATAGGAGCAGGGCTCTGATATAAGCTTCAGGCATACAGCGAATTTTTATTTGATTTTATTCCATTTCATCTCATTTTTGTGCTAAAAAGGTAGGCTGCTTGTAAATTGTGAATCGGAGACCTGCGCAGCGAGGTGCAAGAAAAGACCCGTGCTGGGCTTAGGGCTCCATAGCCAAATGGTAGACCTGATTGATAGAACAGAAGTAGCATAGCCTAGCAAAAGCTTTAAAAATCAAACAAGTTTTTACGTTCAGCAATCTGTCGTGTTCGAAGAGCTGTTCGGGCCCGAGGGAGTAGTCGCCGATGGTGCTGTCACTGACACATGGATGGTTGTGGTAGACAAACAAGTCAGTTGGGATTCAATGTCTTTCGTCGAAGTCCTTGCTTTATTGCTGGCGGTACACAAGCTTCCCTTTACCAGGGGCTCCGCGACCTTGCAACTTGCCGCATCCCCTTCTTCATTATGGAAGTTGATCAAGCCGCTTCGATGTACCTCAACCCATGCGGTACCCTGATCAGAGTCACATAGTATGGCTTTAAACGACGATGAATTGGAGTGTGTGCCTTTGGTTTCTGGGTTGAGGTCTCAAAGATGTCAGAAAAATTTGTCCTCGTCAATAGATTGCGTTACTTACTGGAACATGATATGCCGTCAAGAGGCGCAAACGACTCCGAGATCCCGGTGCAGTCGAAGTTCTCCGTGGAATACACAAAACATTGGTTATTATGGTCAATGATCTGAAGCGTTCCGCCAAAGACCGCCGAGATGAATGTAGAATAAATAAACAAACGACGCATGTTTCTTTCGCTTCTGGAGATGGGGTGTCTTCAGCAAACCGGGATCTATCTTGCTCTTTGAACCAGGCATTTTGCGACACGCGCGAGACTACTTATAGCTCCGATTCAATCAAAGCTACAGAGAATTTTGAGCATACTCCATTTCCGATAGGTTTTATATAGTCATCAAAATCTTGACTTGGCCAAAGAACTCATGCCGAACTTATCTGCAAAGACGTTTTTGTGAAAATGGGAATCTATTCACTTATCAACAGCTAACAGGCCGCAAGATTTTATTGTTCCCATAAAATTAATACAATAACTTTGGCTATCAACTTTAAGAGACAATCATCGGTAGAAGTTTTATGCGCTCTTTGGCTACGGACGTACCGCTCCTTTCACAATTTTGCGGCCGCTCAAGGGTACCCAAGTTGCCAGATAGAACCTCAAAAATTCTATGAAAATTATCAAAGAGGTGCTGAAAAAAAAAAGACTCACAGACCCCCAAAGCGGTGTTTCTAGTCACAACAGCTTTTAATTACCGGTCGTTTGAGGTCATCAACAGAATCTTCCCAGGTAACCACAAACGTTTCCCACAGTACTTTGCTGATAGATTCTGGTTTTTTCGTCTATCAAGAGAAATCTTTAGGATTTTGCGTGGTTCCTGCTGAAAAAAATCAAGGTTTCACAGTCATAATACAACAGTCCGCCATCCCAGCTATCGGCAGCATATCAAGCCTCTGATTTGACAGATTGAGTGTCCAAGCTTGCAACAGTCATCCCCCAAAGCTTGAGACGGCCAAACTCTGAGTGAATATGTTACTCACTTACTGCATTTTCTTTTTAGGTGCAGCTACAACAACTCTCGGACAAACAGTCAGCCTCTTACTGCCAGGATTTCAAGGGCGTGAATTGGAGGCGAGCATATTATCTACCGTATGTGAGGAAATGCCGAGATGTTAGACTTCCAGAATCTGAATTAACTTCTTATCTACATTCTAGGATGATGAAGCGACCACATTCCTTGTGACTTGCCCTCAAACCGTCGCTGCATCTGACTGCGGCGTTTCTGAAGCAGGAATGACGGCTATCCTTAAGAAGGACTCCGTAGAGCTGGTGGATGTCAACAAAAAGAATAGGTTGGTACCCCGTACGCACTCAAAGAACTTTTGATATTAATTAATTATTGCAGCACCGCGTTACTTTCGTGTCATATTACTGGAACAACGTATGCGTTCTGCTATGCTACCAACAAGATTTCGGTTCACGCCACACTAGCCCCCAAAGACCTCAACTGGATGACAATACCAGTTATGACAACGAAATCAAATTCCCCGGGCGTACTGAGTGCCTCATTCTCCACTCAGGAATCCCTGGCAACGTCTCCTACGAAGCTGCCATCAGGCATAGAAACGGCTGCTACACCAGCGGCTGCGAGCCAAGGAACATTCAGACCGAAGACATCATGGGGCTTATACGCCATAATGGGATCTATTTTGGCTGGAACTCTGGGTTACACCTTACTTTTTACATTGATGGGCTGGTAATTTCAAACTATACAGTGGCCAAAGTCTGGCAATTAACTGCTCAGGCTTACTTGAAAGGAATGGCACCTGTAGCTCGTTTTACCTCGTTGGTACCAGTACCATTTCACATCAATCATCTTACATAGATGATGATTAGTCTATCCTAGATAGACGGAATTATGTCATATTTAGATACTCAGATGATCAGGAAGATACGATACGCTACTGTGTCTAGTGAGGGCCATCTCCTGTCCAACAAAATTCACTTTTTTCTGTGTAAGGATGCCGAAAGATAACATTTTAGAAAACTTTCGACGAGACGTCCTTGATTTGAAAGTTCTTAGTTGTGTGACAAATTCAGACAGGCGGACTTCCAAGTTCATAATCATGAACCGCACGTAAAGAGTTCTCCCAAGTATGGCTTTTCCGGGACTCACAACACTCGTGCACGTATGAATTCCGCATACGCAAAATTTCAAATGTGTTCGATGGGTTTTAAAGTCTCTGGACAGAACTACAGTGTTGTTCTGGTTGTTACAGTACTGCAGTGCTAGGGATGATAGAATTTCGAAGAAAAGAAGTTGAGCTCCGAAGCAAATACACCTGATCTTTGAACCCTTGGTGAGGCACTTTATCCATCGGTAACCTGCTCCGAAGAAAACGCGAGACAGACCGACTTGCCATCCAGTGAGATGAAACTGACTTCAATCTGGGTATTCGTCTCGATATTGCATAGAAGTTTGGTGGTGAGCATTTGATATTGAATAATGAGGACGGCTCCCAAAACTTTCTCGTATTAGATACATGACCTGGGCGAAGAAGACAGATCCTCGCTCACATCATACTCACGCGGGCATCTCTCGCTCCCACGATTGCCACAAGACCAAATACTGTACCACTGAAATTCCATCTTCGGAGATCAAGCGAGAGGCAATGGCGCTAATCGGTATCTTTTTGCCAACCTGGTTGCTCCCGTTAGATCGGCAGCCCAAAGAAATCGCATGGGCACACTTACAGTGCTTGATGTCTCCTGACCATCCATGAGGTGGTGTATGCAGGGAAAACTGGATCCTAGCGACTCTTCGTCGGAATATGTGGCATCATCGCTCTCTGATGCCACAAATCTGCGATCCTCGCTGGTTTCCGACATGTCACCTTCTGTAGAAATAGAATCGTCATCCGTCTCTTCAATATCAAGGTCTCCGTAACTGGATAGGACCTCGAGGATCTCATTGTCACTTTCCTCTATTTTCTCTGGCATTTTCAAAATGAAGTGCCACAATTGACTCGGATATTTCAAGCAAGGCAGAGATCATCTCAATTTATAGAATCATGGGCGTGCGGTAGTACTCGGTAGCTTAAAATTGAAGATATGTGATGACGGATGATGACGGGTGAGGAACATATGCTAAGTTCTAAGGATAAGCAAAAATAATTTTGCGATGTGTTGGCAGGGACCATCACTGGGCATTAAGATGGTTGAATCACGGAAAGCGCTGACCCACCAGAGGCCCCTGGTTGGCCCAGATGACTCGTGACAAATCATTTGCCTCGTCAAGGTTGGTGACGCGGGTGAAACGAGTACCACCGCGGTCAGTCTGCAGAGTCGGCCCGAAACAGTGTGTCGTGGACTCGTCTCAACAAGATGATTTGAACTTGATTGATGCACGCCCCAATTCTGTAAAGATATTGATTCTTGTTGACAATTTGGGTGTAACTGTTGCGTAATGTTGAGCACCGACTGTCGACGATGCAGAATCGTCGCAAGGCCATGACTGAAGACATCAATATATGATCAAAAGCCTCATACCATCTCGAAGCTAGGCGGCGATGGGAATATCTGTGGCACGGCCCATGATGATACTATGACACACACACCTAGGTGGAAGGGATGGCGCAATCAGCCGCACGATTGCTGGTGGTTGATTATCGTTCTCCCATCAAGACCCTGTGCTTGATTTTATCTTGATATCATGACGTTGGTTACCGTTTGCCAGCTGGCCATGTAAAATCGTACCCGAGCTATGCGCTAGAGTTACAGACGGACGGGACTTAAATAGTCGACAAGGAGCCCAGGTTCTCAGGGACACCTCCCTGCAACAGGATGGCCGACTGCATGGAAATTGACTCCAGTGACGATAGCCGCGAGATGACTGACACGAACCAGCAACTTGAACGCGAACTCCTTCAGTGCCAGCAAGAATCATCCCCAGCTGCTGTGCATTCGCGGCGAATTGTCTCGCTCGGGGTTTCCCCTCATTACGTGAGTCACTGGACCTCTGCCGATGCCTTTCGGGAACTATATCAGAATTGGTACGTGTCTGTCATCTTGTCGGATCATGAGGCTAAATCATAAAACAGGAAGGACGCCATATTGGAACGGTTCCAGATCGATCGAATCGCCTTCCGGCCGTACTTCGTCGACGCCTGCGATCATTACGCCGTCTTGGTACCAGACCCCGTGGACCCCGAGGGCCGCCGATCCCTGGGATTCATCAAGTATGACAAAAAGTCCAGTCGGGTCACTTTGGCGAACGCCTGCCTGCAATTGCCCTTCGAGGCTGTCGAGTTGGGCTTCACTACCAAGGGCGACCAGAACCAACTGGCGGGTTCCCACGGCGACGGACTCAAGCTGGCAGCCGTGGTCCTGTCCCGGGATGGGTACAGGCTGCAGGTGGCAGCAAGCCGATGCTCCTGGTATTTCCATTTACGGGAGCCATGCAAGTCTCGCCTCCATTGTACCATCACCCCATCGCGCCAATCTGGCTCCACCCAGACGGACTGGGCCGAGGATATTGTGGGGCTGCGCTTCCAGACCGAGCGAGATGTTGCCGTGCTCATCGGCCCCGGACGCACCACCCAGGGTCGGCCGGTGGCACCTGAAGAATTTCTTGAGTGGCTGCAAATATCGTTGGATATTCGTGGCCTCTCCTACCCGTCCTCGGTTGTCGAGACAAGCCACGGGGACCTGCTTTTTGACCAAAATCTCCTCGGTAGAATTTATGCCCACGGTGTGCTAATCTCTGGAACAAACTCGATTTACCCGTTCAAACTTGGTTATAACTTTACAGAGGGGAAATTCAATCTCGATCGGCGATGGCTAATGGACCGACATGGACTGGCAGAGCGAGTGTGCCGGATCTGGGAGTCCGCACTTCAAACGCACGAGGACGTCCTTCTCCCGATATACGTGAGCCTCCTCAGAAAAACACCAGCGCTGATGGACGTTGATCTGGCTGCTGATTTGCTCTTACCCTCGACGATATCCCGCATCTGGACGTATCTGCTACACGAGTCCAAAGGCAAGGACTTCTTCTATTGCGAAACATCCGGAGCCCAAGTTTGTGGAAAGTCCAATATACGCATCACTTGTCACAGGCTAACGCAAATCTAGGATGTCAAGATGATACGAGAGACCATTGGAAAAAGGCCGGTGAGGCTGCCGCGAGAATTTTGGCGTCTGCTGCGATCGACTACACCTATCCGCAGTGCTGCGGAAGAGCTTTCGATGATTTTCCAGAATGCCGAGGTCTGTAGCCCCCCCGGATACCACCTTCTCGATAACCGTGCGGAAGGCACTGAGAGCATGTTTTGCCTTACTGCATTCGATGCAGGAGATCCGGGTGGTTTACGTCAAGGGGCTCGATCGTAGAGCGGATGTTGTGTATAATCCTCAGCAAAGCACGCTGAAGGTCCACCGACGATGGCTGGACTTTGACGGTATACATCAGCGAACGCCGTGCCGGAACTGGGTTCTCCGTAATGCGAAGAAGGAAAGCGGAGAGTACGAACCCTTCTTTTGCGGCCACATCGTCGAGGAGCTCTTATCTCTTTCCATCTCGTCCGTGTTTGGAGGCTCTCAGACCCCTCGGACCACCGAGATGAGGTATATGCGCCATATCCGACGTCTACTCCGGTACATGCCACACCAGATCACGTTGACGCCCTCGAAGGGCGGCTTGGCGGTTGCTTGGGAAGACAGCGAGACAGAGCTGTTTCGGAAGCATGGCCTGGATGGGGCGGCGTATCATGTCATACTACACGAGGAAAACTGTATCAGCATGAAGCGGGAGCTTCTGCATCCGAACCCAGGTAAGCCTCGATTGATCCTCGCTTAGATGTAGCTATGAATTCTGATACTTGCCATATAGTTCCGGACTCGTCGAACCTTGCAGTCTGCGGGTGTCATCAGCAGTTCGTTCCGCAGTGGACCAAACAATGCCTGTTCGCAGACTTGGATGAATTCAAAAAGTACTACGCGATGGTTTCACTCAACGAAAGGTCGGCATTGTACGGTCTAATACCGGAGCCTGTGTATCCCCTAGCAGTGGCGGAGACCGGGCATTCCGTCGTCGTTGGCGATCAGCTTCTCGTTGATGTCCAACACAAGCACGGGCCAATCGATCATCGGGTCCGCCGCGGATCGAGAGAAAAACAGCTTCATCTGCCCAAGAGCCGAGAAGCAAAAGACGGAAGTATATGGACTGAGCAAGTCGTGTCTCAAATCACCCTCACATTGCTATGGCGTTTCGCTGAATGAGAGTTGTAGCTCACTTTCACACGGAGTGGATGGTCCATGACAGGCTGCATATTGTTCACTTAGCTCTGTGCCCTGGTCAATATTCTCTCTCGGCAGTCTTACGCGAGCATGATGGGAGTCACCGACGTAAGTTTCCGGTATCTCCTGGCGCTCGAGAAGACATTGGCGAGGTCACAGAGAATCGGTCATTCAGACGAGTCAAAATGACTGATTGACTGAATTTCGCCCACCTAACAGAAGTCACATATGCAAGGATTCTTGGCCTTAGAGAAGGGTAGAAAAGCCAAACGAAACAAAATGCTGTTAGGTAAAACGATAGGGCCCATATGGGTGAGGGTATTTCGTATAGCGGACGAACGGGATGTATAGTCGGCTTAGTCCACCTGGACAGGACCTCAACTAGTTGCTTTCGGAACGGCATAATGATGAACCGTCATAGCTACTCAAATAAGACTGCGGGTAGAAATCAGGACCAAGATTC